GTAATACAAAATGATTGGATAATTAGTAAAACAAATTGGACAAGTATTTTAATTAAAAAAAGAAAAAAAATGACTGGATAACCAATACCAAGCACTTGGATAATCACCACAAAGACAACCATCTTCTAAAATAAAAATGAATGGATAACTAGTACAAAAAAATGGATAATCTGCTCAAACCGGTTGGATAATCAGTATGAATACAATGGATAAGTGTTTTTTTTTTTTTAAAAAAATATTCCTTCATTTCTACACATAAAATTTAAATGCATTTAAAACTTGAAAAAAATATTCGATATGGACCTTGTTAAATAGATCTTGATGAGTACTATGAATTTCATATATAATTCATTTTCTAAGTATTCATGGATCATGAAATATAAGAATATCCATATAAAATAAGTTGGTTATCTATATTTTTAAACTAGATATCCATCTTATTTCTGCCTATCGAAATTTAGTCATTTTTAAGTTCGAAAAAAATATTCGATATGGATTTTGTTTGATAGATCTCGACGAGTACTATAAATTTCATGTGCAACATGTTTTCTAATTATTCACGGATGGAGAGATATATTCGTTTAAAAATTAAAGATATTTTCTGGAGGAGAGAGAAAAAAAGAAACACAGACTAAAATTATAAAATATTAAAAAAATAAGAAAAAATAAAATAAAGATCATATGTGCAAAAAATAGAAAGGGGACCATGGTAGTTCAGGGTGCACATCAGAATTTGCCCGTAAGGAATGTAAATGCCGAGTTTTTAAAGCGAGAAAGCTAGCATTTACTTTCTTAAAAATAGACGAAAACGGTAAAGGACAAGCACAAGGTTTGCTATAGCCTTATAATTATTTTTTTGTATTTTCTCTTCTTTTCTTTTAAGAACAAATACAACCAAAGGACAATAATTTCAAAGAAACTCGTCGGACTCTATTGATAACGTCATATCCAACCATCATTTACATCACTTTTTATTTTATTTTTATTTTTTATTTTTAATCTAACAACTTGCCAAAAAGCCCCAACTAATCATTATTTTGACTGTGTCCCAGGGTTGTTAAAACTCAAAATATAGTATTTTCCCAACTCCAACTAATGCGTAGCTAGTGTTCACCTTAATTTTAGAGGAAAAGAACTGAGCTTCATCACATAATTTACATTATTCATTAATGTGTATATATACTACATTAACCACACGGTCTCAGTTCACATCATCTGATCATGACACCATAAGATAAAGCTATTATTCAGAAACATGAACAAGCAAATAATTATTTTTCTTTTCTTTAAAAAATGCGACATGCACTTTGGCATGGTGTGATACTCGTCTATATAAAGCATAAACACTTAAGAGACTTAATCACTTCATATCTTCTTACTTGAAACCAAAGCCTCTTCTGTTTCCAAGTGATTTAAACTCAATCACTACTTTTTCCCGTTTGCATTCCGGTACTCTCTTCCAGCTAAATGACTTGTCATTTCTTTGTTCTTGATTTGGTTCCTTAATTCTCCCTAGTTTGTCGCTTTACCATTCAAAAAAAAAAAAAGAAAAAAGAAAGAAAGAAAGATTGATAAGAAAGCTTTTTTGATCGAGATATATAACAAGGGTGGACAAGCTAATAAGTGAGTGATTTGTGCTAAAGATTGAAGGGATTCGTCAAGAAGGTACGACTTAATTTGTCTCTATCATCACTCATTTTGCCATTGAAGTTTCCTCGAATAATTTAGAGATTAGAGAGAATTGTGGTGAACTCCTCCATTATTGTTTTTACGCCATGGACCTTTGTTGTTCTGTAACTTCTAGGTTACTTCCAGGCTTTCCAGCACAACTAAAGTAGTCGATGACTTTAGTTATCTGGTCTGTTACATTATAATTTTGAAATAACTACTTTGGTCTTTTACATTTGTAAATAAGTGAGCGTTTTTCGTCTCTTATACCGTAATAGTTCAGAAGTATCATGATTAGAAAAATAAAAAAGTTACAATTATAATATATTATCTGAAAATGAATTTGTGGTGGAAGGAAACAATGAACCACATTCGAATTTGATGGTGAAGTTCCATTGGATTATTTAAGTACGTATTTATTTATAAAAAATACCTTTATTTCAAACAATGTAATCTGTGACATGTAAAATTGATTGGTTTCATGTCTAATTGATAATTCATAATGGGAGCCAACAATTCATTTTAAATAAGTCGCACACACCAATATAATTGAGCGGCCATAATATATTAGAGCAATGATACATATAGTGAAAACTTATAGTGAATTTGGATAGTGACAAATAAAAAGACATATACACCACACACTTACTAAACATGTCTAGTTATTAATCAAAGATAAAATGTAATTTTCGGGAAAAAATAAAACTTCAACGGGAAAATGATAAAAAACTAAGAGTCATGATTAATCCATATCAATCACTATGTTTTGTCACTATTTCACTATATATATCATTTTATAATATATTAAATCGTTCCATATGAGCTTTGGACTGTTTAAGTGGTTGTTCCAAATACATTGAATTGTGCTAGTGTGTTTTTTTCTTTTTTTGTTATTCTTGTAATAAGGCATTTTTTTTGTGTGTTCACATATGTGGTTGGATTTCGTTGTTGAATATCTATATTCGAAGTGTGATTGTTCTTTAGGCTTTAGCCTTCTTTTGCCAAAATAGAAAATAAAATTATAAAGTATTCACTTACCTTGGTATAACTTGAATTAATTATCTATTAGAAATATGAGAAATTTCTTACCACTATGACCCACTTCATCTTTTTCTTTTTTTTTTTTTACCAAAAATTAGATTGTTATGAAAAGTAAAGACAAAAAAAATGTGGACAGCTACTGCTAATTCTTTACCCTTTTCTCTATCTATACATATACAGGTCTGAAAGCACCAAACTTCGATTGCGCTTCATATCCCACATATGGCGAGTTCTTCCTCTTCGGACGAAAGTAAGTTTTTATCTTTTTTATTTTATCAATCGGACGAAAGTAAGTTCCTTATACATATTTTCCTCCGTGCCCGAGGAAGTTTATCATATAACTAATTTAAAAATAAAATTATTTCAGAACAGAGAATATACACTATGTAAAACCGTAATGAGTAATTGTCAAACCCTTGAGAAAGTGGAAATAGGAGAACCATGAAAGATTCATCTTAATTGTAGGAGGAACTGGTTTCTGTCGAAAAAAATAGTTCATATTGAGCATTGAAATTTATGTTAAAATTAATATAAATTTTTAAATTCAATGTAAATTATATTTTTAAGACGGAAGTGGTAATATAAGTAAAGACTTTCATGGTGAAAGTATTATTAAATGATACCCCAACGGCATATGATGACAAAGAATTGGTTTGTTAAATATGTAATCCCATCCTAAATCACGACCATGATGTGTAGAAAGTAGAAATTGGATTTTTTTTTTATTTTTTTTTTTATGGAGATAGAGAGATATTGATAGAAAACAAGGTACTGAAATTTCTAAAAACCTATGTTTAATTCTTACTTCTTATTCTTCTTCTTTTGGTTCGTTTCCTTTATAAATTGATAAGTAGGTTCATAATATATATACATGCATGTGAGTTCGTATTGCGAGATGTAAATTGAATAGAAACGAGCTTTACAAAATGGTTATTACATATATATTCCTCAAATTAAAGCTTATAACCATATTCTTGATGTGAAAAGAGCGCAGTAAATATGAACTTCCTCCGCAAGAGATCATAGACATTGTTGATGCTACACCTACCGCAGTAATATCAATGTCTCCACATAGAGATAAAATGATCTATCTCCATCGATCTTCTTCTACACTTTCCTTGGAGGATTTAGCTAAGCCCAAGTTGAAGATCGCTGGTGTACAAATCGATCCCAGGAGTTATTGCCGAAATCGAATGAGAGTGTGAGATTATATTTCTTTTGTAGATATCGTGTTTATGAATTATGATCTCGTATGCCCGTGATTATGTTAGCTAGGAGTCCTTTTTTTTTTTTTTTTCACTTTGGCACGACAAGTGTTATTCACTCTACTTATTTAACACATTAATTCATTAAAAGTTTACTTAGTTATAAATTACGACATGGCTCATTTTTTGTAGGTCCGTGTACAACAGCGCACAGATCCAAGACTTTGCAGGGAAAGAGGACTTAGACTTTGGCAGGATGCTCGCGCTCCCTTTGTAAACTTCACCAATACCTTCTTTTTTCTATACATTTAAGTTTAGAGGAATCTCTTAATTTGGAGTCCTTTTTTTCCCGGGATTCTTTTTTTTTTTTGTTTTTGTTAATTTCTCTATAAATAACAAATCAGAGAGGCGACATGAATTGGACAGCGAAAGTTGCCCCTTTGTATTGGCAATTTAGTGTATATATATGTGTAGGGTTAGGATTAGGGTTACAATCAGTAAATAATGACATGGTAACTATCTAAACTAGACTAGTTATATTAATTATATTTACATACACTAACAATAAACAAAAAAAAAAAAATCAATTTGAATTTTGAGATTTGTACTTATGGATTTTTTTTAGGGGCCGAGTGAGATTTTTTTAAAAAAATCCCAATCAGTTTTACTTTTTTTTTCTTCTTCTTCTTCTTCTTCTTCCTCTTTTTTTTTTTTTTTTTTTAAAAAAGCAATTTTTCTACCAAGTCTTAGCTACTATATACTCCCTTCATCCTGAAATAATTGTTCAATTTAAATTGCATCCAAAGTGAAAATCCAATAAATAGACAATGATTTTAGGGGAAAAAAAAGTGTATTCGAGCACGAACAAATAAATATATATTAATAACTGTTTGTTTCATTTTAAGTTATCTGTATTGCTCGTGTTAGGATGCCAGGTGTCGAACGCTTACAAATGAAGCTCTTCCCCAAGTATGATACCTTAGAAGAAGGTCCGGAGGAACAGGAGCCAGAGAGCCTTGAGACACAGGAGACGGAGAGCCTTAAGGATATTCCCCTCCCGCTCCGCACTAAAATTCATTTGATTAGATGGTAAGTCATTGATGATCCCTTCATTTGCATTTCTGAATGGAGTTTTTCTTTTTTTTTTTTCTTTTTTTTAAAGAAAAAGAAAGGAACTAATTGGACAATTCTTTTTTGTATAATGAAAGAGGTCAGAAAACATAAAATACTAAATGATTATATATATAAGTTTTCAACTAAGTCATATTCTAACTCAGAGATAAAAATCTAACAAGAAAAATCACTAGCCTCTCCTTCTGGGTAACCATTCTTCAGTGTTATATATATTAAAGAGTTCCAATCCCACATTGATGTTGGGAGACTCTGAGTATCAATATATATGTTTCATGTGCCACTCTTCTTATTGTCAATTGGTTTTGAAGTGGAACTCCATGGACTTCTATAATATAGTGGCAGTATATAATTAGAAGCAACAGAGCCTTAAGCAATGAAATTACAATATTTCTATTTTATATAATTTTTATCTGAGATTTTTTGGGTGGGGGATTGAGTACTACTTCTGCATTGCTGGATTAGTTTTTGCAGGATTAAGCAATGTTCTTTCCTTGATCTCTATTGTCGTCCTGTTCGAACAATGATTTTTCTATTTCTACCCTTCACAAAATAGATGTCTCCTAAACTCTTAGCTGTTTTTTTTTTTTTTTCGGTAATTGTGGTCAAGATAGGTCACACGATGGTCGACATCTGGCGTTCCTCGCACAGGTATTTGATTTTCTTTCCATTGTATAAAATCTAGAGGCCAGTGAGCATATATACTTGAAATATTTGGTAACCAAAGATATCATTCTTTTTTTAATTATATACTCCATCTGTCTTGAAAAAAAATTATTCTACATTGTAATTTTTGTTATTCATATTACTTTTAGTACAATTTACAAATTAAAACATGGCTTTTTTTTCTTTTTTTTTTTTTGGATGGAGGTGTCCCAAAAAGATAGAGGCAATATTTTTATGAGGTGATTATAAAACATGATTTTGTTAGTGGAGTACGATGCTGTCTACATGTTGAAGTAATTTATTCGTTCTTTTTGATTATTTTTAAGTAATCATCATCAAGAAGATTTATAAGGTTTTTCCTTTATGGGTTCTGCATGGCAAAGCAAACTGTTGCTTCATGGGTAGACTTTACATTTCCAACTTGTAACAATTGTAGTTCTTTTCATTTTTTTTTTTAAAAAAAATGATAGAGACTAACATGTAGTATACTTGATTAAGCTAAAAATCTGGTTTGCAGAAGTGGAAACTGGAAATGTTAGGGAGTTGTTTCAATCCTCTCAACAGCAGATTTACGTCAATGCAGTTTTTGAAGAGTACGGCATGTTATTCTTAATTTTCAGCAGGCATCATAAAAAGTTTTTTTAATTAGAAGAATTACTTTAGCTTCTTTTCATATTTTTTCAACTTCTCAGTGTTGTGTGGCTGAGCAACGAGACTCTCTTGGTTTGCACTGTGGTTTCATCGGACGATGAACTGCCTCCGGAAAGGCCCGCCATTCCCTCCGGTCCCAAGATTCGGTCCAGTGAGAAAAAAAGAGGTATTCCACCTAGAAGTACCGATCAAAATTTGCTCGAAGATGAACACGATGAAAAATTATTAAATTACTACGGCAAAAGTCAACTTGTGGTGGCATCCCTTGATGGATCCAAGTCTGACCTTGGAGAACCAGGCATACACACGGGAATGATACCATCTCCAGATGGCAAGTACATTTTGATTGAGTCAATTCACAAAGTGGATGGAAGATTCTTCAAAAAGGTTGAGGTTTGGAAAATTGATGATGGGACAGTTTGTTCTTTTAGAGAAAATGAGGTACTTGAGAAAACACTTCGTAATTTGCCTCTATCCAGTAAAGACATTCCTATAGAACCTGATGGTACACGGAAAGGGAAGCGCTCAATTCAGTGGAGGACAGATAAGCCTTCCACTCTTTGTTGGTAAATGTTTTTTTTATTTTATTTTATTTTATTTTTTTTTATACTTCAAAGGATTTAATGTGTTTTTGTTTCAATAGTAGTCATGTGACATTCCTTTTTTTGTTATTCTCTCTATTCCAAAATAATCTTTGTGAACATTAACTGGCTTGGTTTGTGTGCTTCTTCTGTTCTTAAACATTTATCTGATTCGGGTTTTCACTTTTGGTACAAAATTATACTAAAAATAGTGAAAATACAGTTTGTATACAAAGTGTAAAATTTACACTGAACAATTATTTAAGTTGAAGAGTACAAGCTTGGTCTTCAAAATTCATTTGAGTTTGTTTATATTGTTAGGGTGGAGTCAAAGGAAATGAATGGAGGTCGCTCACAACACGAGGAACAAGATGGTGGTGATGCAAAAGTGCAATCCACACAACATGATGTCATGTATACACTTGAGCTCCTTGAGCCTACCGAAAATAAAGAGCCAAAAAGATTGCATGAACTTGAGCTTCGCTTTAGGTAAGGTGTTGCGACTGATTAGTTGCTTGTCCTGCAATTCATTCATCAACAAAGCTCTTTCTTTTTTTCTCGGAACCTATCATTGAACTATTTTTTTTTTTTTTTGTTGGGGGGTAACGAACAGAAGCATCAAGTGGTGCGATGATTCACTCGCTTTAGTGCATGAGTCATGTGAGAAAACAGGGACGACAAGAATGTGGTTTATTTCACCCGGCGGTGGATCGGATGACGAGGGAATAAGTCGTTCTCCACCAATCAAAGTGTTTGATAGCTCATTAGAGAAAGCAGACTCTGATCCAGGCCGCATTCCCTTGATGCGAAGAACTCCTCAAGGTAGGTACAAAATTGCCAAGGTGAAAATACCGGAGGAGGAGGACCCTGGTGATGAAAACATTTATATTTTGCTGAAAGGACGTCGCCGTGATACACCAGAAGGAGACATCCCGTGTTTAAATTCCGTTGAAATGTGAGTTTCAGTTGTTCTACTACTAATTGTTGTTTCCCTTTCTGTGTAATATTATGAGTACATTCATTATATAGTCATTCAAAGGAGGTTTTCTTTTTTTATTTATATTTTGTTCTCTCTTTTTTATTACTTGTTAGAAAAACTGGTAAGAAGAAGGCATCACCGATATGGGAAAGTGACACTGAAACATATTACGAAACTGTTGTTTGGTTGATGTCTGATCAGTACGAGGGGGAGTGCTTGCCCGTTGATCAAATGCGGCTACTTATTTCAAGAGAATCTTCAACCACAACAACCCAGTATTTCATTCAAGGCCACAAAGATAAAAAATTACATCAGATTACAGAGTTTTCCGAACCACGCCCTCAGTTGAAGCTATCCACAAAGACAATTACATATAAAGTGGGAAAAGATGAATATGCTGCGGACCTGTATTTGCCACAACGTGATGAAGCGCCACTCAATCTTCCGTGTTTGGTTTGGGTGTACCCAGAGGACAAGCCCAAAGTTAGAACTGCCACTGAAGCGGAACCTAGATCTGGACCTATCCGTTCTAATTCTCCAAAACGGTTCAATAAGATAGTGCCAACATCTCCTTTAGCTTGGCTGTCGATGGGGTAAGGTCGAAATCTCTCACTTTTGAAATATATATATATATATATATATATATATATATTCCCTCTTCTCATAATTATAAACTACAAAGTTGGACTAAATTTATTATTAATTTGTACCTTATATGATTAGTATTAGAGGATGATATTGACTGTTTTCAGGAATTTTCTTTTTGACGACTCAAAATTATATATCTATCTTTGGTATTCCAGGTTTGCGGTTTTGTATAGACCACCAATTCATATCATTGGTGACGATCATAACCATCCAAATGATACGTACGTTCTCTTAACCATTGGCTAATCAATAAATTTTTTGATGACCGGCCGGGTTATATGATTAAGTTGCGGAATCTTGTTCCAACCTGAATCTCAAATCCTCTCCTCATCGTCCTAAAATTATTGTTCAGTTTAGATTCTCATTTCTCTAATCATTATATATATTAAAGTAAAGAAAGATAATCGACACGTGTCGCTAATTGAGACCGTTAAGCCTCATTTTCAACTTATTGTCATTTTAGTCCTTAAAGTTCTATTTATGTGCTATTTAGTCTTTAAGTTTATCGATTTTATATTTTCAGGGACGATCAATTGTGTCTAATCCCCAAAGTCCCCTTACCTATAAATAAGCCATAGACATCTAGACATAATTTGCATATTTTTTAAATATATTTTTTATCCAAATATAATATTAGTTAGTGGTGACAATTTTTCTTATATAACTTTTTAAATTTTTTGTTGTAATATTTTTGGCTAGATCTTACAAATATGCATCTCATAAATAATATCAATACCTCTCATATTGATCTAAAATTGATTAATCAAAAAAATATTACGGTTTTAAGAAATATTAGTAACTACAGTATCTAATTAATTCTTTTGAAAGATAAATTTTTAATATTAACAAACCCGCGCAAAGCGCGGGACATATACTAGTACAAATTGGAAGAAAAATAAAAATTCAAATTGGATAATTATTTTGGAACAGAGAAAGATATACAAAACCATCTTAAGACTTTGTCCTCCCTAGGTATCTGAAGCAACTGCGTGAAATTGCGCATGCTATCGTGAAGGCACTCAAAGGGACGAATGTAAGTCTATTATGTACTCTCTTCGTCTCGAAATTTATTATTCATTTTCGATTTTTATTTTTAGCTCAAATTGTAATAAAAGAAAATTTAAACTGTACGATAATTTTAGGATAGAAGAAGTACGTAAGTTTATTATGTATATGCACGAACTTTTTTTTCTCGTGAAAGCTTTATTAGACATCTGGAATTGGAGAGCTGGATTTTTACACTGCTTGATAATGTTGTTACCTCTGAAGTTGGTGGATCCCAACAAAATCGCCGTTGGTGGTCATTCCTACGGAGCATCCGCAGTTGCGAACCTCCTAGCAAATGAACCCGATCTCTTTTGCTGCGGTATTGCTCGCTCTGGCGCTTACAACAGAACACTCACACCATTCGGGTTCCAGGTAGTATTACGCACCTTCACCTAAACATTAAGTAAGCTTTAGTTGTGTTTTTCCCTTCTGTTTTTCAACGTTACCCGCGTGCTTTTTTCTTCTTTTTCTTTCCCTTCTTTTTATATATGTAAGAAAAACTTCAAGTGCTGGGATAGGGAGATTTGTTTAATTAGTTACTCCCATTGTCACATTTTAATTTCTGAGTTGTATTCCATGTGTCTCGAAATGATTGTCCAATTTGAAAATTTATTTTTAGTACTAGACAATCATTTCGGGACAATCATTTTTAGTACTATTTTTTAATTAATTTTACAAAACACAACGTAGACTATTTTTTTTTTTTTTAATGGAGGAGATGTAGTTTCCTTGTGTTGTCTGCGTTTTAGTGGAATGATTTGAGCACAAATTTTCCGTCTTTATTTTATTTCTAGAATTAGATAAATGAAGAGAGAAATCTCTGGTGAGCCTGTTTGTTAATTTTACGTTCTGCCTTTGCTCTTCGAGTTACTTTCTAAAGCTTGGAGACAGACAGAGATGAAAATTTAAATAAATGTATATATGAGTAATAATATTCATCTCACTTAGCATTTCACTTTATATGTCGTTTATTTATTGGTTAATTTATTTTCTATAATTGGTGGACCATTTCTTAATTTACATCTAAATAACTCAAGCTAAATTTTATATTTCTTATCAATATTGGTTCAAATAGATGAATCATTTAGATTATTATAACTTTTCCAGAAATAGTTTACCTTTTTTGAGGTTAGAGTTTATTTATTTTAAAGTCTATAAATCTAACTAAAAATAATTAAATTAATTTAGTAAATTTGATGCAATAATTAAATTGAATGTAAGGTGAGATATAATGATGAAATAAATTCGGTAAGTTATGTATCATTATCCAGAATAATTTATTCTCTCTCTATATATACTAGTGATGTCTGGTCGCACATTGCGCGACCCTGGCCCAATATATCTGTAGATCTTAGAAATATTTGTATCTGAAAAAAAAAATATTTTGTATTTGGCCCGATATATTTTAGAAATATTTGAAGAATTTTAGAAATGTTTTATAAGTGTGATGTTTGTATTTGGCAAAAAAATAAATTGTATTTGGCCCGGTACGTTTTAGAAATGTTTGAAGATTTTAGAAATATTTTATAAGTGTTACTTCTTAAATATAAATAAACTTGATCAAATATATGTCTTGAAGTAAATGCTAGACAAAATATAAAAGCATCCTAATAAGTTTAAATATTAGTAAGATAATTTATTGATTTTCTCCATTGGTTGTGTCAAATCAATACTTAGTTTTGGAGATTTATAATAGATTTATAGTTAGCTTCTTCCAAAGGGTATACGCTTAATTGTTGGAACTATTTCTTCCAAAAGTTTACACGTAGTAAAATATCAAAAATATGATTTTGAAACTGGTTAATTGTTAAAACTAGTTGATCATAAATATGATAATGAAAATAATATAAATTTGCATAGGTTTCAAGATATAGCGAAAAAGAACTCATCTTACGAGGGCAAAAAAAAAAAAAGTAAAAGATAGCCCATTAAAATTTGAGAATTTTTATTTTTTTCTGTAGGTAAAAATGATGTATAAAAACACAAATAAATGTAGAAACATCATTCCTTCCCTCTCCACCTCAAATTCATAAAAGGATTCCCGATAAATTAGTTAAAAGAAGCGACCTGAACTATTTATATGATGAGAAACTAAAAAAAAGTCTAAAAACCAAATCCAAAAAAGTATATCCTTGAAACCCAGAACACAAAAAAAGAAACGTGCTTCATTTACAAATAAAATAATAATAATAATAATTGGTCAACTGGGAGTATGAAACAAAATCAAAAGCAATTAAACAAAGAAAAAACACACATCATAATTGGCCATATACGAAAAAAAACCTGAGACTCCATAATTAAAAAAAGAAAACCATTCTAATTGAATGAAACATAAAAAACAAATTTAAAAAATCACACTTTGTAACAAAAACCCAATCAATCAATTCAATCCAAACATAACTAAAATCATATAAAAATTTTAGGCTAACTAACCAAATAAGAAATCACATCATACTACCTGACAACAGCTACGGTAGCTGTAACGGATGGACGCATAAAAATAATAGTAATAACACTATTCTTGAACGGGAAAAACAAAAAATAATAAAAGCCAAACTAATGATCTGTGGAAATAAAATCATTTAAATTTTAATACCTGCAATGACACCACCACAACGACCGAAGCAAGATCAATGAAAATTTTTTTTTTCCTTTGTGTTTATATAGAGAGGTAAAGAGAATATTTTTTGAAGTTGAAATTTTATCCGATTAAGATGTTGTTGATCATCACTAATGAACAGATTGAATATGCTAATAGGAAAGGAGTATATTTCACCACATATTCTCAATTAATGATTGATGAGGAATTTATTTATTTTTAATTGGGAAGAAGGAATTGATTAAGGAGTCGATTGTCGTGGAGATGAGGATGAGAATTTGGGTTTTTTATGAACCTGTGATTTTTTTTTTGTTTGTTTTGATGAAAATAGGAGGTTGAAGTGAATTTAGACTGCATTTGCCTTTTAAATTTAGGAGATGTGGTAATAAAAATTTATTTTAAAAATATGATGTCGAAATGCCACATGGCGAATGATGCTGCTGCTTTCTGTTAAGTGTGGTTTTTGTTTCTAATATAGTAAGATATATGAGATTATATTTTTATCTTTATTTTTATTTTTTCAGAAAGAAAAAAGGAAGTTTTGGGAAGCCTCTAATGTCTATTATGAGATGAGCCCCTTCATTTCGGCTGATAAAATTCAGAAACCCATCTTGCTTATTCACGGGGAAGAAGACAAAAATACTGGGACCTGGACAATGCAGGTGACATTAAATAAAGTCCCAACAAATTGTGTACTCTTCGTTAAATACACTGTATCAACTAGATTCTGTTGGCTCTATGTGTATATCATGGTTTTGCCACCATTGGGCTCTTGGCAGTGGCGAATCTAGCTTGGAGGTTTGGCGAATCCAAGCTAGATTCGCTCTCACTAATGAAGTCAAATAGTCGATTATAAAATTACATTCACCACCTAATCTCTACTTAACAATTTCTTAATAGCTCGTAGTAGCGGGCCTTTGCGGACGCGCGCGCGGAGGTTTAGCTAGCTAGTCCTTTTTCAGTTCTTATCTTTTGGAGCCACTTCCTCTTGTAAATTCTCATCTTTCACAATCTTACCGCTGATTCCTAGTTTTAAAATCTTCATATACGCAGTCGGCAAGATTTTTTGATGCTTTGCGAGGACTTGGAAAATTTTCTCGTCTAGTTATTCTTCCCCTGGAAGGCCATCAGTATGTTGCGCGCGAGAGCATATTGCATGTCCAGTGGGAGACTGGCAGGTGGCTGAATAATTTCTGCCCGACGGACACTTTCCATGGTTCATCTCTTGCTTCTACTTCAGCCCAGGGTGAAGGTTCGTTCTCTCTCTCTTCCCCCTCCCCCTTCTTATTTTTCAGATGTTTCAAAATCTAGTCATATTTTAGACATGCATTAAATTAGATTTTAACAATATAAAACTAGCTAGTCCTCACATCTTCATGCTGTTGCCTTAAAATTTTGAATCAGAACTGGGTGACCAATATTATCGAGTTCCTGCACCGGAGATAACAAATATCGTCGACAACTTTGACAATTGCAAGAAACTGTTATCTCCATGCGGGAATCTGAAACTGATTCTTAAGTATCAACCTCAAAAACGTCAAGACATGGTGAAAAAACGAGAGCGAGAGGTGTATCTTGCTGGCATTCAAATCGATCGGCTTAGTAACTGCCAAAGCAACACGTGAGTGAGATTTTTTTACTCTCCCAGAATGTCTTAGTAATGGAGTCAAGTATTCTCCCTCTGTCCCAAAATAATTCTCCAGTTTGAGATTTCACTTTTAGTACAATTTGAATTAGAAATAAAAATTCAAACTGGACAATAATTATGAGACGGAGGAGTACTTTATAATTAAAATCCCTTAATGTCAGTGAAAGAGATTTTTAAAAAATCCTCCCAAGTCTAGCACAGATCACGAGTAAGGAAAAAAAAATGAATGTATATGTATTGCTCGTTTTGTAGGCTATTTTTCTCTAGCATATGGATCCAATCCACCAAGGATGCTAACTCTAAATCCACGGTCTACATTCCAGAAGATTCTGAAATCAGCTTCGTCACTTGGTAAGTAACACAACTGTTTCTCTGTATATTTTGGAGAATCTACTCCAGCTTGTTAATTGTTTCACACCTTTTCCTCAATAATATCACGTGTATTGTGAATTGTTACTTATTTTGGTGAATCGGAATATAATATTCTATCTCAAACTAAACAATTATTTTGGGGCGATCCCTCTTTTATTTAAGGGAGAATTTGGCTAAAGGACAATAGAATAGGTTAAATTAATAAAAGTGGTATGAGCTCAAAATATTTTATATGAAAGATGGTAATTTATTTATCAAAAATCATAAAATAAAAAAATAATTTGAATTGACAATACAATTCTTATGAAGTAATTTCTTACACAAATAATAATAATAATAATAATAATAAAACAAAAGCCATGTTCTTTTGCTTAATCCCACCTTGAGGAACTGCTCCATCGACTCTTTTCCTGCTACTCTCAAAGCCGTAAAAAAATGTTCAACAAGAATCAATTCTTCTTTTAAAAAAAAAAAAATTTAAATGAATGAAGCAAAAATCCTTTTTCTATGCCTTCTTCTCCTCTCACCATCTTGGTCAAATCCCACAATTTCTGATCAAATAAAGTTTCACTAATCCTATATGATGAAAATGAAAGATATACAATCATTAGAGAGATGTCCCTGCATATAGTTTTCTGTGAAAGATTTGATAGAGGTTGCTTAATCAACAAAGTATTCAACATTGATTGAGTACTACCCGCATGTGTAATCCCCTTTGTAAACCACAAATTCATAATTTGCAAGAAAACTTTTTGGGGCAAAAGAAATTGCTAGTACTATGTCTTAATACTATTTGTTGGATCGAAGCATTAAGGAACAATCAATAAAAGGATGACTAGTTAAAACATTAATAGGATTTCCCCCATTGCCTGAATCCCTGTTCGTATTGTTTTTATTTTCCTTCCATCTGCGGCTGCGGCTTTGACAGATATTTAGGAGATTGACGTTTGTTTTGTGTACTTTATGAGTTTTTTTAAAGGGTAATAAAAACATTAATGGCAATTATGTAATTATAAAATTATATTAATTTTATATTTTTAACAAATAAATTACTACCCTTCATACAAAATATTTTAAAGTCATGTCCCTTTATTAATTTGACATGTTCTACTGCCCTTTAGCTAAATTTTTCCTTTATTTAAGTACAATTCTACTGAGAATTTTGGGATTCTTATAAAGTTGATGTTGTTATACGGAATTTTCTTTAAATGCCAGAATAAATTGCAACTAAATTGAAGATTTTGTATTAGGTTTAACTGTTGTAATTTGGTATGCCATGGAGAAGGTTATAACATGAGTGTATATGCAGGAGATTGATGCTTTTGGAGAGGTTATAACTCGTATGTGTTTTTTTTATCAATTGTTCTACAATTTCGAAACAGCAAGAATTACTATTTTTTTTTCAAATTTATCCTCATATATCTTGATTTGATAAGTTTTATACTTCCTTCCGTCCTATGATGGATGTTGAATTTGGGATTTCAATTTTAGTAAAAAAAAATTGTACTGAAATTGAAAATTATTTTAGGATGGAGAAAGTATATCTCTCTTGTCCCAATAGATCGTTGTTAGAGATTTAACAGGGTCCAAAAGATATTATGATATAAATCAAATCTCTATTCATTAATTATTTGGGTGAATCCTTGAACAATATATACATATTTGTTTTTAATTATAGAAAAAACAAAAGGAAAAAAAAAATAGAGGTAGTATTTCTGCGTTTGGTGGAGAAGAGCCGGGCATGAGAAACTGACTTTGTCATTGCTTCTTGCCTGAGTAGGTGTATGTGATTGAATCCACGATTTCATTATCTTTTCCTGGGCTTACTTTGAACTTTGCTGCTTAATGTTGGAATATTCTTTTTTGTTCCGAGTTAAACTGATTCATTCATGCAATAAATGGTTGTTTTTCTGTGAACAGGGTTTTTTTTAAAAAAAAAAATTAATTTTCAATTTTGGTTGAGATAGGTCAGATGACAGTAAGCATCTTGCCTTCGCTGTACGGAATAACAAGGTACTTCCTTCCTCCTTTTTATAAGATAATATATTTTGTTCTGAAATGATCGTCGAATTTAAAATTTTATTAGAAGTGAAAATCCAAACAACACAATTATTTTGGATTAACAAAAAAACAGTAATCCGCATTTATTTTTAACATCTTTCTAATATTGCCCAACGCCCCTGGCTGGACATATGTTTCTGTACAGGAGGAGGACAGCATTAATCGTCATAAATTAAGAGTATGGGTTGCGGAAGCGAAAACTGGGAAAGCTCGGGACTTGTTTAGGAACTATCCAGATATCTATTTAAATGCCTTTTTTGATGATTATGACGACTTCCTGACCAAGCAAAACGAGAAATGGAAAAAGTATAAAGCACAGCAAGAAGAATTATGCCAGGAAGAAAAAGATAAAGGGAATGAAAGGGTTAAAGGAAAGAAGAATAATAATAAAGGGAAAAAGGATAAAGAGCCACAAGAAGAAAAAAGAGGTCTAAGGGGTATGATGTGGGTGAACAAAAACACTCTGTTGGTTTGCACTATTCCCACATCACGGCCGAAAGATCCACCACCTGATAGTGATGTTCTCTCGGGTCCAAACCAGTACAGTGCGCAGGAGAAGGTTGATCCAGTTATCACGGGTCAAGATTTTATCAAGGATCAACATCATGCAGAGCTATTTGATCACTATGCAACCAGTCGACTTGTTCTGGTCTCGCTCGATGATAAAAATCCCATTACGCTTATGCAGCCGCTTGATGCATTCACGTTAACGAAGCCGTCAAGGCGAGATGGAAACAACATTTTGATCGAGTCAGTCCAACGGCCAAAACTTATAGATAGACCTTATAACAAATTTCATAAAAGGTACTGGGTCTACACGGATACTGGGAGGTTGGTTTCTGAAAAACCGGGCAAAGTTGCGCAGGACCGTTGTACCGGGTCTTGAAGACTTGCTTATCTTTTTTCACGCCACCTCTGTTTTTCTTACCTGTATTTGTTGAGAGTAATTGTGTTAATTAGATCCCTGGCTGTTTATGTGTCAAGCATGCCCAGTGCAAGAAACATGTGTTGTTTTTCTTTGAAGCATATCTTCTGAACTTTTACTTGTTGCGTTTGAACTTTGATCAAGTATCCAAAAGAGTAATCTTTTCAACTTCATCCGGAAAATGACAACAATAACAATCATATTGACTTAATCAGTAGATATAATACTTCTTATGTCCTAAAATTATTGTCTGGTTTAGATTTTCCTTTTTTAGTTCAAACCGTACCAAAAATAGAAATCCAAACTGGCTAATAGTTTTGAGAGAGAGAATACCATACACACATTTCACATTTTTTGTCAAAAGTTAAAAAAAATGAAAGGAAACCAAACTTTCTAGGATGTGGTTTGTATTCGTTTGTAGGCATTCTGCATATCTGCTTGTGGAGTTGTAATGGTTTGTATTTTCAAATAACTACTGTAGGTTACCGCTACAGTGTTCGTTTGTAGGCCTAAAGTAAATCACGAAGCAAAATAAGCAAATATACCATACGACGACATCTAGAATATTACTTCGTTCCGTCCCAAAACAACCACCGTTCAGTTTGAATTTTTATTTTTTAGTTCAAAATTCATAATTATTTTAGGACAGAAGAAATACTTAATCATATGTTAAGCTAGCTACCTTTCGAGAGTTCACTTTATTTATACTCTCTCGGGACTTTATTATAAGACATTTTGATTTGTTTTAAGTATTGCCTAATATGTTTTTCGATTGAAAAAAAATCGTAAAACTACATTTTCACATTTATTTGTTCTCCTAATTATTAAAAAATATTTTTTAAATTTTTCTTACAATTGAAAAAATATATTATGTGAAACATAGAAAAAATCAAAATGTCTTTTAATAAGGAGGGGGAGCGCATGCATGCTTATAGTTGAAAGAAATGAAAGCAGGCTTATTCTTGATTGGGAGGTGTCTGCTAAATAAAGGTGCAATGCTGATCCTACAAGATTGATTCTAATTTTGTTATCAATATGTTCAGATTGAGACGCACGATGGTTGTGATACAAAAGTAGAGACTGAAAGTGTCAAAATCCTGTATCGACCTGGAATATATATAATACAACAATATACCTATAATTACAACAATAACCTCAACTATATATATACATTAACATCCCCGCAATCTGAACAGAAGGAATACGAACGTTCGTACTGTCTCGAAACTCCGTAAAAAGAACATGGGGTAAGGCTTTTGTCATAATGTCAGCAAACTGGTGAGTAGAAAGAACATGAAAAACATGAATAGACCCTTGAGCAATCTTTTCGCGAACGAAATGAATATCAATCTCGACATGCTTGATATTCTGATTCTAACAAGATTTGTAAACAAGAAGATGGCACTGACATTATCACAGAAGACAATGGTGGCAGTAGGTAGCCGAATACACAGCTCGGAGAGTAAAGAATGTAACTAACAAACTTCATAAACAACATTTGTAACTGTTCAATATTCTGCCTCAGCACTGGAACGGGAAACAAAAGGTTGTCTCTTAGAAGATTAAGAAATAAGATTAGAGCCCAAAAATATAGAATAACCAAAGGTAGAGCGACGAGTATCAGAACAATCAGCCCAATCAGCATCAGAATAAGCCACTAATTTATCAAAGGGAGCGTATCGAAGGTAAAGACCATGGTGAAGAGTGCCCTTCAAATAGCAAAGGATACGCTTCAGGGCTTTGTAATGAGACACTCAAGGCTGATGCATAAACAAACAAACCTGCTGCACGGCATAAGCAATATCAGGGCAAGTGAACGTTACATATTGAAGTGCTCCCACAAGCCTGCAATACTCATAGGGGTCAACAAACAACTCCCCGTCAAGCTGAGACAACTTAGCTTTAGTATCAACATGGGTAATAACTGGTTTAGCATTACTAAAATGACACCGATCAAGAAGATTAGAAATGTACTTTGACTGGGATAGGAAGAGACCATCAGGGATACGTGAAACAGAAATTCCAAGAAAATAATGCAAGTCACCTAGATCCGTTATAGCAAATTCCTTGCATAACTGAGCAAAAATGTAAGTCAACAGTGACGCAAAGGAAGCAGTGAGAAGAATATCGTCAATATAGAGGAGAAGAACTGTCATGTCATTACCATGTTGGTAAACAAACATAGAGGAGCCAGACTTGCAAGATCAAAAACCCTGAGTAGTGATAAAGGAAGCAAACCTCTGATACCATGAAAGTGTCAAAATTCTTAAGGTTGATTGTATTGACGTGGAGTATATATAATACAACAATAGACTTATAATTACAATCATAACCTCAACTATATATATACATTAACAGAGACATCATTTGTACTTATATACAAGCTGCGGAGCCTCTAGGAAGTGAAGAGCCACGAATTATCTTGCATAAACTTAGTCTTTGCTATCGGTACTGCCTCTTTGATCAGTTATGTATTCTCACAAGTCATTCGCTTGTTTTTGCGTCGTTCAGTTGAATGGTTCATACATTTTATTTATCAACCGTTTGGTTTAGTGAAAGAGGTGAAATTGTGAGTCAAATGACTCATGGCAGGGAGCTACTGTTACTGGAATTGTAGGAGCTACAACCAATAACCCTTTTTTCAATTAACTAATATTATGTCCACATGTTGTACGGGTTAAAATTTTATTTATTAATTTGTTTTTTGTTTTTTGTTTTTTTGCTTTCCAAAAAGATTATGGTCACTTATGACCTGTGAAGGATATAAATCACAAATCCAATTTAAAAAATTATGGAATTAAAAGTAATAAATGGAAATTTAGAAAAAAAAACTAAAACATAAATTATATGGTGACACTTCCACGTTCTATTCCATCCGGCATGAATTCTCTTTTATTTGTTGAGAAAATTATGTTTGGCGTTATAGCAAAAGCATTTCTTTGTGCGATTTTTATGCTAGTTGGACTGTGTAGACATGTGGTAAATTTACATATGTCAATAACAAAAAGGGAGAGTTTGTTTAGGGTTTAATATTTCATTTTTAGAAAGATTTTGGCAAGTATTATGAATTTTGAAAACCTTTCGATCAGTGATTTAAAGATTCAATATTGTATATCATCATGTACATGTGTTGTTGTTTTGATATACTCTATCTTAAAATATTTGAATTGCTAATAAAAGGTGTAGATTTCAGGATATATATTATCATAATTTTAATAATTTCTAAAAACCAGTCCCACAAAAATTGCGTAGCTAGATTGCTCATCCAATTAGTAATGGCATTTTGGAATCAAACATACATATATTATCCAATAAATATGACTCAAGAGATGAGCATTAAAATAGATTTTTAGACCATAAACCAGTGATTAATATATGAGAAAAATGAAAAAAAGAAAAAAGTGCCTTCTACTTCATTTAAATTGTGATGAGAGGTCGTTTAGCAGAATAACCACAAAAAATTTTTAATCCTTTCTGACCCCTTGAACTTTCTATACACAATCCCAACTTTCATATCCAACCTGTTCATGATATATATTTTCCTCAATGATACAGAATAACCAAAATCATCGTTACAAAAAAAAAACAAATAAATAAGTAAATTCACAATTGGAAGTTTATAAAAATTAACTCTTAATACGGAATTTTGGAAACTCATCCGCAAAAATGGCCATTTCTGGAGGTTGACAAATTTACGATGACCGGGTTTTGATCAGATTGATTTTCTACTCAAAAATAAAAGAGAAAACAATGCAAATGTACGTGCAATTACATTGCATAGAGAGATTGGGGCTTCGCTGCTCCAATTCACTGTTCCATCGTTTCAAATCGCATCCTTCACAATATCCCATATCAGCCCTCGGAAACTGTCCTTCAAACTTTTTAGAGTCAAGCCTTACCTAGAGACTCAAGAGATTTTTCTACTCACCAAACCTCTTTTCCAATGTGCAGCCTACAATTTGGTAATATATGATGCAATTACAATCAAAGATGTTCGCCTGCTTTAGCGATGTTCATTTCAGCTCTGAAATTGGGTGTCGGGAAATTAAAGAAATCTGTCATGACCCTTTTTATTACTATATTATTTCAACCTCAAAATATCCCTTATGATAGAGTTTAGAATTAAAATTTTAAAATTTCTAAAATTTAAAAAAAAAATTGACTACAAAGTGATTTTTTTTTTTCACACTAGTGAGATGCTTATAGGTGGGTTGTCCGTAGTCATGCTCATGATTAGTCCATTAAATTAATTAAAAAACATACAGTTTTGTATCCCTATTTATTGACAAGCAAATAGCTGTTTTTGTCAAAGTCACGTTGGGCTCCCATCTCAAAACCAATTGGTAATGAGTGGGGTGGCCTTTGGTACTTATAAACAGGTGACAGATCTTTCACGACACCCATGTGGGATTTTTTTGTCCCAACAATCTTAATTTGGACTCACCATTTTCTTTCTTCATTTTCTCCTTTCCTTTCTCCTTCCGCGCCTTCATCAGTTTTTGAGTCTTTTGACTCCTTAAGAGGTAAGAGTAAGACCATTTCTTTGTCAGGTAAGGGTGCAACAATTAATATAAAAATATGGTGGCGATAAAAGATGATTAGCTAATTGGTGGCCGGCTTTTATGATTTTTACTTTCTTGACTGGAAAGTGACCAATAAGTTGCTTGTTATAGTCTTCGAATCTTCACATGGAGAAAATAGATTACGTGAACCCTGCGCATCTCGTTAAAAAAAAAAAAAAAAAAGCATTTTCACAATTCTGGGAAAATAAATTCAATTATAAAAACTAAAATTTATAAATTGAATAATTTTATCTTTAAATTAAAAAAAAAAACTAATATGAAAATTGAATAAAGAGTAGGGGAAAAAGTCACTTTATATACCCTAAGAATAGGGGTCTCGAGATCATGTACCCTAAGAATTTGTCTCACTAAGTTTTATACCCTGTATTTGAATTTTGTTTTTTCAAGTATTTTTTAAGGGCAAAATGGGAAACTAGCCTAACTAGTATGTTTTTGCCTTCAAACTTCTAGAAAAGAGCAAATTACACCATAAATTTTTTATTTTACCCAAATTTATTTTTCAGTTAGATTTCAGTAAATTGCACCTAGATTTGAAATCAAAAATTTCTCATGATTTCCAGTGTTTATTATTTTGACGTATATATTTGTTTTATTTTAGCGAGTTTTTCTTTATTATAAGTTTAATTTATATTTTTATTTGTCATTCTGCATGATTATTTTGAAGAATATTTTTTATTCTTGCATTTTTGTACTTTTTGTTTAAGTATTTTGCACTTTGATGCAATTCTAGTAACACAATTTTTTTTATTTTACGCGAATTTCCAGAATTATTTTAGGCGAATAAACACAAAATCTAAAAAAAAAAATGTGTTTGTAGAATGTTTCAAAGTGCCAAGAACTTGAACAAAAGTACAATAAAGGAAGGACAAAAAAATATTTTCTAAAATAATCATGGGAAACGACAAAATAAAAATATAAATTAAACTTATAATAACAAAAACTTGCTAAAATAAACCAAATATGTGCGTAAAAAATAATAAACACTGGAAGTCATGTGAAATTTTTGCCCAAAAATTTAGGTGTAATTTGCTGAAATCTGACTGGAAGATAAATTTTTATAAAATTAATAGAATTTATCGTGCAATTCACTCTTTTCCAAAAGTTTGGAGGCAAAAATGTAATAGCTTAGTACAAAATTTTAGTAGTTTTCCATTTTGCCCTTGAAAAAAATACCTAAAACAACAAACTTCAAACATAAGGCATATGATTTGGTAAGACCAATTCTTAGGATACATGGTCTGGAGACTCTCTATTCTTAGGATACATAAAGTGGATTTTTCCCTAAAAGGTATTATATTTTCTCTGTCTCAAAACTATTGTGTTGTTTTGCATTTTTCATTTTAGTAAAATTGTTACTAAAAATGAAAATCCGAAGTAAATAGTCATATATAAAATTCATAATAATTTTTAGATGATTTAAATCTAATTTTAAGATTTCAGTTTTTAAAGTGTGTTATTCCAAGTTAAAAAAAGGTGTAATTTTTTGTAGGTAAGCAACAAAATATAGGGATGCAAAATTATATATTAGAGTAGATAGATCCATTGAACTAAGAATATGATTACAGCAAAAGTGACTACTTTATTTTTATTTTATTTTTTTGATAACAAAAGTGACTACTTTATGATATTACTTTTTTTTTAATGCTGAGATGTTCTATATTGTGTCCTAATGTGCTGGTCGGTATAATGTAATGGAATCCCTTGGACTCTTAAATAATTTTTTTGAACGTGAGAAATGTACATACCGAGTTTTTAAAGCGAAAAAGCTAGCATTTACTTTCTTAAAAATAGACGAAAACGGTAAAAGACAACACAAGGTTTGTTATAGGCCTTATACTGCTTATTTATTGTATTTTCTCTTATTTTCTTTTAAGAACAAATACAACAAAAAGACAGTAATTTCAAAGAAACTCGTTTGACTTTATTGATAACGTCCTATCCAACCATCATTTATATTACTTTTTACTATTTTATTTTTTTTACAAAAAAAAAAAAAAAAAGCTAACAACTTGCCAAAAAGCGCAACTAATCTATTTTGACTGTATCCCATGGTTGTTAAAACTTAAAATATATATAATATTGTCCAAACTCCAACTAATGCTAGCTAGTGTTTGCATTAACTTTAGAGGAAAAGAACTTTACTTCATAACATAATTTACATTACTCATTAATGTATATATATTACACGGTCTCAGCTACATCATCTGACCAGGACACCATAAAATGAAACTATTATTCAGAGACAACAACAAGCACATAATTACGTTAAAGAAACAAAAACATTTAAAAAAAAAAAAAAAAAAGCGATATTCACTTTGCATGATACTCGTCTATATAAAGCATAAACACTTAAGAGACTTAATCACTTCATAACTTCTTACTTGAAACCAAAGCCTCTTTTGTTTCAAAGTGATTGAACTCAATCACTACTCTTTCCCGTTTGCATTCCGGTACTCTCTTCCAGCTAAATGAATAGTCATTTCCTTGTGCTTGATTTGGTTCCTTAATTCTCCCTAGTTTGTCGCTTTACCATTAAAAAAAAAAAAAAAAGAAAGAAAGAAAGAAAGAAAGATTGATAAGAAAGCTTTTTTGATCGAGATATATAACAAGGGTGGACAAGCTAATAAGTGAGTGATTTGTGCTAAAGATTGAAGGGATTCGTCAATAAGGTACTTAATTTGTCTCTATCATCACTCATTTTGCCATTGAAGTTTCCTCGTGTAACTTAGAGATTTGAGAGAATTGTGGTGAACTCTTTCATTATTGTTTTTACACCATGGACCTTTGTTGTTCTGAAACTTTTAGTTGATTTCCAGCACAACAAAAAGTAGTGGATGGCTTTAATTATCTGGTCTGGTACCGTAAAATTTTGAAATAACTACTTTGGTCCTTTACGTTGAAAATAAGTAGGGAATTGAATAACAAGTTAGTAATTTGATTAAGATATAGTGTTTTTTTCAGAATAGATCTAGGTTTACTTCCCACAAGAAATTTGTATTGGGGACTTTATCCACACTTAAAGTGGGATCTACTGGAGTGGAATATTAGAGGGAAAAAAATGTGTTCATGAGTATCGTTATTAGAAAATAATAAGCTTCAATTATAATATATTATCCGAAAATGTTTTGTGGTGAAAGAAAAATAATAAGCTTCAATTATAATATATTATCCGGATTCAAATTTGATGATGAAGTTCCATTGGATTACTATTTAAGTACGTATTTATTTATGAACAATAGCTTTATTTCTTAACAATATAAATGGTTGATTTGATATTTAATTGATAATCCATAATAGGAGCCAACAATTCATTTTAAATAAGTCATAAGCACGCACCAGTATATTTGAGCGACCAAAATATAATTTTGCCAAAATAGAAAATAAAAATACAAAATATCAATATTAATATTCACTTCCTTTGGTATAATTTGAATTAATGATCTATTAAAAATATGAGAAATCTCTTACCACTATGACCTACTTCATCCCTTTTTTTTCCAAGAATTAGATTGTTATGAAAAGTAAAGACAAAAAAGATGTGAACAGCTACTGCTAATTCTTTACCCTTTTCTCTATCTATACATATACAGGTCTGAAAGCACCAAACTTCGATCGCACCTTATATCCCCCCACACATGGCGAGTTCTTCCTCATCGGACGAAAGTAAGTTTTTTTTTTTAATTATTATTATTATTAATCGGACGAAGGTAAGTTCCCTATACATATTTTTCTCCGTACCAAAATGATTTTATTTTAATATAACTATTTTTATAAATAAAATTATTTTAGGACGAAAGGTATATAAAATGTAGTAAAACCGCAATAGTACTTCTCAAACCCTTGAGCAAATGGAAATACGAGAACGATGAAAGATTCAACTTGATTGTAGGAGGAAATATTCATCTGCTAGTCGGTATGTAGCAAACATTCTTTATGTCTAAAAAAAATAATTCACATTGAATTTTAAAATCTGTACTAAAATTATTACAAATTTTTAAAATTCAATGTAAATTTATGTTTAGGAAGAGAGCATTATAATTTATAAGAGTTTCATGGTGAAAGTTTTATTTAAATGATACCCAAACGGCATATGATGACATAATTGGTTCGTTAAATATGTGTTTATGGTTTGGATCAAACTGGTAGAACTGTCCTACAATTTTCTCGGGGAGCAGTATATTGGAATTTATGAAGTTAGTCGGAAATACTTTCATTATTTTTCTAATTTATTTTTTTTAAAAAAAAAAAAACAATCTGATCAAAGGCTTGTGGGACACACAATCCATTAAATAATCAATAAAAAATAAAGACTTAAAAGGAAAATTGAATTGGGCCATTAAATTTTTTGAAAATTCTATTAAAGTGACTAAAATTGTTGAAAAAAATTTATATTTTTGGGGAGTGATTTTGTTGTTTGAAAGTACATTACGGGTCCCAGTTCAGTAAAACATTAGTAAAAAATAAAAATTTAACGGAGAAAAGAGTTAACCGTTAATTGACCATTAAATTGACCAAAACTGTTGAATAAACGAAAAGATAGTGACTAATTTTGTCAGTAAAAAATTAATGATGACCAAAAGTTATGACCCCCCATAATTTAGGGACCAAAAGTGCGTTTTGTCCAAAAAAAAAAAAAAACAAAATACAACCGAGTATGGGTAGCGAGACAAAATTACGCAGATGGAAAGGTGTGTTTATGGCGAAATGTTATATTCATGACTAAATTATATGCTTTATAAAATACTTTAGTTGGAGGCAATTGCAGCCGACATGGCTCCCTTATTGCTTAATTTACTAATTGATGATATCTGAATTTATCAGAGGCCAACGGATATAAACTTCCTCCGAAGGATATCAGAGATATTATTGACGCTCTAGTTGTGCCGACAATATCAATCTCTCCACGCCGAGATAAATTGATCTTTCTCAATCGAAGTTCTACAGTTCCCTTGAAGGATGTTGCCAAGCCAAAGAAGATCCTTGGAATACCAATCGATCCAAGAAATCACAGCCGAAGTCAGATGTGAGTGACATCCCAAACTCGCTCTGTCCAAAATTATTGTTCAGATTGAGATTATATTTGTAATACAATTTGAATTAAGAATAAAAATCGAAACTAAATAATAATTTTGATACGTGGAGAATAATTTTTTTATATCGTAAGTTTATGATCTCGTATGCCCGGCGCCGTGTCATTAATTTACTACTCTTGGAAAAGATAGGAATTCATTTCTTGAAAAATATAAAAAATAAAAATTCCAAGGTCTACGAATAATTTTTTAAAATAAATTAGAATCTAATTAGGATCTCATTTTCAGTTTAATTTTTTTCTCTAGCTAGTTACTAGATTGCTCATTTTGCAGATCATCTTACACTCGCACAGGGATCCAGTCGCTCAACGATAATGAGTCGGTCAACCCTCCAAGAAACATGTAAAGTGTTCATCGCCTTCTTTTTTTTTATATTAAAAAAAAAAATTGTTGGGGTACAGAAGCGGGATTATACCGCCACTCCGATCGACTGCTCTGTTTGTGCGCGATTGCATTTTTGGAGAATTAATCTATTTGGGGTTTGTTAATTTGTTTTTGAATTATTTTTCAGTAAGTCCACTTGTTGGGCATGACCAAGCGTAACATTACTGTATTTCGCTCCTTTTGTAGGTCATATTTCACCGGCATACGGATTAAGTCGCTCAAATTCGATGAAGGTAGAAAAGAAGATGTGAAAGAAGTGACAGAACTCCCAAATCGTGCTAAAATTTATTTGGTTAAATGGTAAAGTTGAGACGGACGGCTTCTTTTCATTTTTTTCCGAGGGATTTTATTTTTTCCCACCATTTAAATATTTAAAAAAAAAAAAAAATACTCCCTCTGTTCTAAAATTATTGTTCAGTTTGAAATTTTACTTTTAGTATAATTTGAACTAAAAATGAAAACTCAAACTGAACAATAATTATAAGACGGGAGGAGGGAGTAAAAGCAATATACACACATATATACACACTGCGATCTTCTACTAGAAGCATGAGAGATGTAGCAAATCTATTAGTTCATTTACTCCTAACCTTTTTGTTGCGCAATTTGGGTTGAGAATAGGTCACCTGATGGTCAACATCTGGCATTCGTTGTAAAGGTAGGTACATACTGATTTTACGTCTAGTTTATAATATCTTTCCTTTGCAAAATTTGTGCGTAGTAGCAATGACTAAAAATGGGAAAGATTAATTAAGGGCGAACTACATTCAACCCCCGAGCTTCATCTACATCTACCATATATAAAATCTCGAATTTTGGTAATACTATCACATACATATACCTCTTTGAATAAAGGTAAATTAAACATTGAAATGACTAAAATGTCCATGTTATTCATGCACTTCATTTTGAGTTTTTCTTTTTTAAAAAAAAAATCTTTATTATTTTTTTGAAAATTAAGAATAACATTACTTAATTTTCATTTTCATACTTTTTAAAATTCAATTATGATATAAGTTAGTTAACCATATTACTCCTTTATTAATAATATAATTTCATTAATGAACATTATTTTCTATCAAAAGCAATAACATAGTTGATCTTGAAAATTTGTTCTTCAAGTGAAATGAAGTTAAAGTATAAATTTTATATTTTTTTTAACTTATAATATGATATAATATTAAAAAGTATTTAAAGTATATAATAAAAAAGACGGATTGAAGAGTATTTTTGACTGTTCACAAGAAATTATTGATGATATCAGAATGTCAAGCTGATGAATACATAGTATGTTTTCTTTTTTAATCGAAACAAGCAGTGCCTGACGGATATTACCCATTTTATTTAACTAGAAATATAAAAAAAAAGGAAAGTACCCATTATTAAATAAGGAAATAAAATGGGGTATAGTACCCATTTTAATTATGATACACACTATGTTAATTATGAGTTAAGGGTATATTTCATACTATTATTGAAACTCGGGAGATACATTGTAAAACTAGCCTAAACTCGCGGGGTTAAAATCTAGTTCGCCCATTATTAATTAATAATATGGTAACTCTTCGTTTTTTAAATTAAATATTCTTCTTCTACCGTATTTATTGTGCGTGTAATTTAAAATGGGGAGTTACCACATGATCTAAGGATATTTCAGTGAAAGTGAATAACTAGCATTCCTAACCAGTTGACAGGTTTAAGCCTAATCCCTTACTTCTTTGTAGTACGGGACAAGGGTAAACTTACAGATTTACAGAATTACAGTCTGTCTCTTTTGTATGGTCCACTTAGTCAAAGTAAAAATGGATATGGTATGATCAAGGCTATTTATATGGTTTTTGGGGTTCCGCATGGTCAGAGCAAAGTGTGTAATTTGGTTATACACATTTTCGTGATGCTAGTTACGTTCTCTTTGAATTAATTTGTTTATTTCTATGCAGGAAGAAAATGATGATGGTAAATTAAGACTGTGGTATGTTAATGTGGAGAGTGGAGAAGCTAAGCAGTTATTTCAATCCCAGCCAGAGATATATGTGAATGCAGTTTTTGATGAGTATGTCATCTTACTTGGATGGCTCTGGAGATAGGAAACAATACTCCTCCTCATGTCTCAAAATTATTGTCTTATTTAAAATTTTATTTTTAGTATTCCTTCTGTCCTAAAATTATTATTCGGATTGAAATTTTACTTTTAATATATTTTGAACTAAAAATGAAAACTCAAACTAGACAATAGTTATGGGACGGAGAGAGTATAATTTAAACTAAAACTGAAAACTTAACTGGACAATAATTTCAGGACAGAAGGAATACGTTTCTTAAATTATTTTGCTGGATCAAACAATCCCTAACCTTTTCAACTTTTTGCCAGTTTTGAGTGGCTAAACGAGTCGAAGCTCTTGGTTTGCACTGTCGCGCAATCGCAGGAGGAACCACCAAAAAGGCCACAGGTTCCCAACCGTCCGACGATTAAATCCCACGAGCCAGCAGCCCATAAAGACTTACTCAAGGAAGTGCCTTCTCTTCCCTCAGCTGGAACCAATCAAGATTTACCCCAAGACGAATACGATGAGCAATTAATATACTACTACGGCAAAAGTCAACTTGTGGTGGCATCACTTGATGGGTCCAACTCTGACATTGGAGAACCAGGGATATACACAGGAATCATACCATCTCCAGACGGAAAGTACATTTTGATTGAGTCAATTTACCAGCCAGAATCTTCCAGTGAAGTTGAACCCAGTGTAAGAAACCACAAAAAGGTCGAGGTTTGGAAAGATGATGGGACAATTATAAAAACACTTCGTGATTTACCTCTAGCTCACGACATTCCTTTAAATCCCGACGGTACGCGGAATGGGAAGCGGCGCATTCAATGGAGGATAGATAAGCCTTCAACTGTTTGTTGGTAAGTGTTCAAAATCAAAAGGACACTTGTTAGAGTGATTGCTATATATGCCTGGTTGGTTATTAGAATCTATGTTTTCAAAACCGGACCGGAAGGTGAACCGTTAGCGTGATTGGGTTGGTGGATTTATCGGGTTAACGGGTTAGTTCGTTCTTCGAAACCAGTAAAAATCGGTTAAAATAATATTAATAAAATATTTAAAAATTAATTTTTTAAAAAAAATATTCAAAAATCGGTTCAACCGGTACCGGTTTCCAGTCAAACTATAGTTTTGTCCGGGTTTAACCGAATTTGACCGAGTTATACAAAATCCGATTTTTTATGCAAACCAGGCCGGTGAGGCTTCCGATTCCCAGGCTAATCAGTTAGACCACCTGGTCCAGTCCGGTTTTAAAAACACATATTAAAATCACTAATTTTATTAATGATTACCTCAATACTAAAAAAAAAATACTAGCATGCATTGACTTTTGAGATTCGTGCAGTTTTAGTACAAATTTCAAAAACTCAATGTGTACTATTTTTTGGAGACAGAACAGGAGTATTTGAAAAGTAGCTATGTCTTCTAAATTAATTTTTTTTTTTGGGGGGGTTAATGACAGGGTGGAGTCACAGTATGGTGAGGATCTACAAGTCCCTCGTGACATCATCTACACACAGCGTGCCGATGCTCCCGAAAACGAGAAGCCAACAATATTGTATAGACTAGACCTTCGCTTCAGGTAACTTTCCTCAGGGCCAGCTCAAGCTCCGCGGAGGCCCAAAGCGGGGCTTGAATTTAAGGCCTTTGGAACTGAAAATAACTTTTATCGTATGGAATTTTACGTTTTAAGTTTTTTGGACGTAAATTGTTCATTTAATGTTCATACTAAACCTTTTATAATTAAAATCTTTAAAATTTAATCAATTTATTTCATAATAGAAACTCTATAAACTAATATTTTTGGGTCCAAAATATTTTATTAATTTATAGAGTTATTAATTTATCAATAAATTAATTATTAATTTATAGATAAAATGATTTTCAACAAGAATTTTTAAATCACGTTATTAAAAAATTATCATAATTTATTACTTTTACAAGAAGAAAAGTCGATGGCAACCCTATTTATACTTTTTTTTTTGTGCTAATACAACAAAAAAAAATGATAATTACTACCATCAAAGAATAATTAAGTTAAGATATAAGTTATCCTTCACATCTAAATTTTTATTTAAAGTGTTTATTCATTTATGAAATTGTGGAGACATGGGGATTTTTGAAAAATTATTATTTTAAAAATTAATTGAATTTTTTCCATTTTTTATACGGATCCCGAGTTGGGAACGAGGTAAAATATTATATATAATAGAGGATTCTACGGTATTGTTTGTTCATTTTAAGTAAATTTAAATAATTCAATAATTGTATAATACACTTTAAAAAAATTTTGAGGCTGCCTTTCCTCAATGTGTTCATTCACACAAAGTCATGGAAAACATTAATCATACTCTTTTTTGTTAATGGCAAACTCCCGTGCTTCAATATCGGTCCTATTGACCGAGATTAATTTCATCTTATCGTTGCAGTGGGATTCAATGGTGTGATAACAAACTCGCATTAGTGCATGAGGCATCGAAACAAACTCGTCGGACAAGAACCTGGGTTATCTCTCCTGGGGAATCCGGGGAAGAAGGAACAACTATTCCACCACGCTTATTGTTCGACAGGTCATATGATGATCCTAATCCCGGATCTCCCATGATGTGGAGAACTCGGAACGGTAGGCTTGCACTTGCCAAGGTGAAAGGGTCCAGTGGCGATGACGGTATTCATATTTTGCTCAAGGGAAGAGGTGCTAAATCTGAAGGGGGCATCCCATTTTTGGATTTGATTGAAATGTGAGTTTGCGCTTTTCCGTTTCGATTTGCAATATTTTTTATTACTCCCTCCGTTATTTTGATTTGTACTAAATTTTGTTTAGTATGTTTTTTAAATGAAAATAAATTCTTAAAAATATTTTATAATGATCGTCATAACACATTAAATGTGAAAATATAATTTTTAATGATCGTCAAAACACAAAGACATACTAAATGAAATTTATGACATATATCAAAGTATCTCGTAACGAGATACACATCCAAATCTGTGATTTTCTTGTTTAATTTTTTTTTCCTGTGCTCAGCAATACTAAGAAGACAGAACGACTGTGGGAAGGTGAAGAGGACGAATTTTATGAATATGTCGTTTGTTTGATGTGTGATCAGCACAACAGAGGGGAGTATTTGTTTGTTAATCAGCTGGAGATAATTACTTGTAAAGAATCTCTAACCGAGATAACCCAGTGTTCCATTGTAAGTTGGCCAGAGAAAAAAACACGTGTGGTTGCAAATTTTCAGCATTCACACCCTAAGCTGAAGGCCATACGAAAGCTGACTATCAAATGTCAAAGGAATGATGGAAGACGACTCAATGCAGACCTTTATCTTCCAAAAAATGATTCCTCGGAGGACAAGCCCAAACCTCTTCCGTGTTTGATTTGGATATACCCAGAGGGGGTAATTGAAGATGACAATGAACTCATCATTGCTCATCCAACTCCGGCTGTTGATTGGCTAGAATCTCCACAGACTTGGGTCGCTATGGGGTATGTTCGAATTCTCCAACACTTTTTATTTGTTTTAATGACGGCTATTTTGAAAAATACTCTCCTGTTCTTATTGTATTTTGAGTTTTTGTCATAAATTTCACCTACCATTTATTTTTAATTGAAAATAAAACCATAAAAATATATTTTCACATATATTGTGTTCTTTCAATTATTATAAAAATATTTTTAAAAAATTTTATTTTCAATTATAAAAATATAATAAGTACAAGAAAAAGAGATTTAAATGACACCTTAAAAATGTCTTAATAATTATTCTATAACCACACTTTACTTATCATGGCATTGATTCTAAATGCGGTCTATCCTAATGTGTTAAAAGACTTATTAATGATCTATAAAGACATTTATAAGTGTCTTCATTAGTAAATTTCCTTTTTACTTTTTAATATCTATAAAGACATTTAAAAATATGGAGAAAAATAATTAACATTTGACAAATTACTATGATATAAAGACATTTCAATGTGTTGTGATAACTAACTAACTTTTTACCATTTACTATGATATCAAGACATTTTTATGTAGAGATAGTTAATTATCTTTTAATCGTTCATGAGATAGAGACATCTTCTTAATATTTAAATATTAAAACATATCATAAGAAAAATTCTTTCGTAAAAAATAAAAATTCATAATATATAATCTCTTTCACGTATCCAAAAAAACAGAAACTATGCGCACTTTACAATGAAATAAATAAACAAAAGCTTATTAAAAATTCAAATGTTAGACATATTTGTGAATAGCTCGACCTATACTAAGATAACAAAAAAAAAAAAAACTAAACGGGTCCTCCACAATTAACCATAGCTCGAGGGTTCGAATCTCTCGATAAGTATGGAGCAACTTTATTATGGGTTTAGAACAATTTTAAATCATTTAGCCACATCTCAAAACCATCGAGATGTCTGGCATAAACAAGGTGGATTAGTCACTTTTCCAATGATGACACCCTATAATATGGAAAAAAACAAAAAAAAACATACTTGTAGTAAATTTTTTGCATTGTTTACCAAAAAGCATGGACAAGCAAAATCACTATATGCATCTTCAATAGTTTCAGAATGATTGTAACCTCAAACCAATTGTGCTTCTGGGACATTCAACACTTGAATATGAAGAGTTGAAAATTATTATCCCATTGTTAATAACCAATAGCTAAAAGAATGGCATTCCTAAAAAATCATATTGCATAAACATTAAACCATCGTGAATAAAAATAATGAGATAAAAGAAGAGAGAAATGAATTATGCCTTCTCTAAAATGGTCAGCATCAAATCATGTACAAAATGAACAACCATTAAAATTACCCACTACTTGGTCTGTGATTTTTATCAAAATTGCCCAAAAGTTTTACCTTACTTCAACCATTAACTGTATTTTATTAATTAATATAAATTAATTAAAATACCACCACCACCTTGAAAACCCAGGAAATGAGTTATATTTTCTCCTAAACGTGGTTAAAGGTGTGTCACCTAATGTGTAGCCTACTATAAAAAGAATAAATGCCTTGTTAGTATATCTAGACATTTAAAGTGAGTGTCTTCATATCTACCCTTTATTAACACATTTTAATAAAAAAATGTCATGATTTATATGTTATAAAAGCCCCTTTTCTTGTAGTGAATGTCTTGCGTGGAACCGGATCCACCAAGTCCCCTCCTATTTCTCACCTGTTGTTTCAGATATGGGCAAGGGAAGACAAATTCCATAAATTGCACAATCAGTCCAAACTTCCAAAATTCTTTGAATTACAGGTTTTAGTTAACCAACACTATGACTTCATTGACCGCCGATGTCATTGTCATTGCTAATTTTTGTTTTCGCACCCATCCAAGATCTATCACCATTTTCATGCAGGCCAGTAAATTGTTTCTTGTTTGGGCATGCAGGATTTGGGGTTTAGATATTCCCACAACAGTTAAGGTCTAGTGGTGGATGTAAAACTAACAAAAATAAAATAACATATTCCTAACAAGATTTGGTAGTATAGTAGGAAGTAGGGTCGTCTCCTCAGGGAACAAGTAAGTGACAATATTTCTAATCAAAAGCAAAGTAATGAGGATGGTTGTTTTCATATTTGTAATTAGTGAATAATAAAAATAAATTAAAAGTAATTAAAAGATAATTTTTGAATAACAATAATGAGAGAAGCTCTAACCAAAGGAATAATATCCACCTTAATGTTTACAATTGATCATCGATGCAAAGATTTACTCAACAAATTATGAATATATTGATTATCATTGTTGGAACCTCCTAACGTTTCAATCTTTTTAATTAAGCATTAGCGGTTAAGAAACCTTCATTAACCACTCTATAGCCAAAAACATTGTCTGGAACCTTCTATAACTTAGTTTCGGCAATCAAAGACCCAATTAAACTTCTAAATAAACAAACCTTGTTTAGCTAAAAGTTGATTATTTATTCCCGCAATACAATAAAACTACTTACCAAGAAATTAATTGTATTGTTATTCTTAGGAACAGACAAACCTTGTTGTTCAATAAATTAGATTACCTAGGAAAAATTGAATGCTACTAGCTATTCAACTAGTGCTAAATAATCAACAATACAAATGAAAGAAAATAAATAAATACTCACAACTAGTAAAGATATAGGAACAATTAGATCTCACAATTGAAATAACATCAAGATTTCAATAATCTTTCAACTAGAAAAGAGAGTTTAGTTACTACACATATTGAGAATAACAACCGAAGAGTTTAAGAATAACGTTACAGAACAAGTAGAGAAGAAAACTGAGAGAATTCTGCCCGGCCGGAACTCCAAATTTGCGCCGACTGTTCTTCCTCTTCTTGGTCTTGTATTGGCCGAATTTTTTCCTCTATTTATAGGGGAGGATGGCTGAAAACTCTCCTAATAAGTAAGAGAAAAAATAGGTTATAATATAGTTTTTCTATTTTTACAAGGTAATTTTCAAATTTGCCTCTTTTGAACACGCATCTCTTAACTAGCAATAAAACGAACCTAGACCCTTTAAAAGACTCAATACATTAAGTCTATTTAAGGAATAGAAGTAATCTTCAAGTAAAAGATTAATTCTTTGGAAAGAATCGCCTTTTGAGTGTGAACACAATTTCTTATGAAAAACCTTCCTTCTTTAAATGTGAAAAGGATTGCCTTGACTTCTTACTTAAGAATAGGAATTTATAACTCCAAAAACTTGGGAAAATAAGCAATAAATTCGTCCTCCAAGTTTTCCAAAATTTTAGTTTGGTCCCTAAAGTTTACTAAAATTGTATTTTGGCCCTAAAACTTTCTCAGTTTTGCACTTTAGTTCCTGGTCGAAATTCCAGCTTGTTCTTCAACATGATCACGTGCTATATATAATGCTATATATAATGCTAGAACGTAAAAAAAATAACCATTAAACTTCAAAATTATATTGCTGAAAATGTCAAAAAATAATCACATAAACTTCAAAACTATATTATTGGAATTTCAAATAACAACAAAAACTTATCTTCCTTTAGAATAAAAAGTTCAAATTAATCTACACAAGCAATTATTCTCCGAAATAACCAATATAAAACAATCATACATTTCTCCTTGAAGTTTGAGTGTGATATTTTGATATTTTGATGTTCCAATAATATATTAAAGTTCCAATAATATAATTCAAAACTAGATATATCAAATTCATAAGGTAGATCTATTCCGCCTTCGTGTGTGGCTTCGTTAAAGGTATAAAATTATTTTTCAAAAAAACATATTTAAGAATGATCTCATTGAATAGATCTCAACGAGCATTATAAATTACATATATAACATATTTTAAATTTTCGACGGATTACGAGATAAAATTATTTTGAAATTTTGAAATTTTTTAAAAAATTTATTTTTAAATTAATAAAAACTCCTACGAAATTCACATAAATTATAAAAAGATCTACAAATTTTTTTATAGACCCCTTATGTGGTCCCAATTATAACACATGTGAGATTTTGAGAGGGTTTCTACCACTTGATGGGTGAATCCTAATCCATGAAAGAATTTATCGCTGAAACTTAAAACAAATTAAAATATTTTATGATTATAATGAGGACCAGAGGTAATATTAAATTATTTGTATGATGTTCCAATCGAGGGAGTTTTTCCTTTGAACTCTCTGGGTGGGTTAATTATATATGTATATATCCTGTATATAATTTTATTATTAAGATGCTTCAATCTTACCAGGTTCGCTGTTTTGTTGTATCCAACAATTCCAATATATGGGACACGTCATCAATCGCCAAGCAATAGGTAACTGACTTTTTTGGTCTTTCTAAAAATGATACGTGTAGTGAAGATATATAGTAAAAATAAAAATAAAAATTGCATAGTAATTGATATGGTATACATACTACTCTTTTGTCACAAAAATTAGTCTATATTAAGTTTTAAAATTTATATTATTTCTAATTATATCTCAAAATTTAATGTAAACTATATTTTTAGGAGAAAGTTAATATATATTATTATTATTATACAAAAGTGTCTCCAATTAAGTGGAATTATAATTAAAGAGTATGAGTTATTGATTTTGTCTTTTCAACCGTCATTGTCCATGTTCGCTATTATTGTCTTATTCGTTGTATCAATCCCCCAGGTAACTGATTTTTAGAAATTGCCCATAGACAGGCAAAGGCGACACTGGTGCCGGCCTTTAGACCGTTACCCTTTCTTTAGTTGTGTTTTTTAATTATTCATTCTGTTCCAAAATAAGTATTACTAATTAATTTGTATAAATTTAAGAAATAATTAAATAAAGTAGATAAATTATTAGAAAATTTTCAACTAACCCCATAATATAAATACTTTTTAATAATACTAGGATAAGTTTCAAAAGTTTGGACAAAAAGTGCATTAGAATCAGAAAACGACACTTATTTTGAATTTTCTCCATTTTCTAAAACAACACTTATTTTGTGATGAAAGGAGTATAAAGGGGGAAAAAAATATTCTTAATTGTATTCTAAACGGTAATTTTCTTAGCTTTAGGTAGGCTTGTTTGATTATTTAAAAGGAAGGGTTTATAATTTTGATTTAATTTCATATAGAACTAAAGTTTCATACCCGAGAAAATAATATAATTTGTACCATTTCGGCCCACCTTTACAGCTTTGTGGAGCAACTGTACGCGAGTCTAGACGCTACGGTCAATGAAGTAGTACGAGAGGGTGTAAGTATCCGGTCCACGGGGATATCCTCATGAACATTTGAGACTTCTTTATCGGAGAGTTCGATTTTATGTAATGTTTGTTATATATATATATTTGATTGAAGTGGGTGGATGGCGACAAAATTGCTATTGCTGGTCATTCCTATGGAGCATTCGCGGTTGCAAACCTCATGGCATCTGAAAAATCAAATACGATGTTTAGATGTGGAATTGCTCTCTCTGGAGCCTATAATAGGACACTTACACCGTTTGGATTTCAGGTATTAATTACCGCGTCCCCTTGATATTATGAACATTTTCACTATTTACACGCAGATTTACAAACACACAGGTAGTACTTGAATAGGGTAGATAAATAATTACATTATTCTCAACTTAATCTATTTCAACAGATAATTATTGTTAATACTATTTCCTTTTGATGGTAATTTTGAACAATTTGAATAAAAACTACTCCCTGTCTTCCCAAAAAAAAAAAAAAGTTCATTTTAAATTTTGAAATTTACACTAATTTTAATATAAATATGAAACTTTAATTTGAACGTCTATATAATCTCACACATGGTTTCAATTCAAGATCAATTAACATTGGGAAGAATAATACATGGACCTTATATGTTGTTTATTAATATGAGTTTATCATTTCTAATGTGTGATAAGTATTTCTCCTTGTTTTTAAATATAAAGGGTATTATAATAACAGTAATAATCACAAAAAGGTATTTATTCCACTACAACGAAAATGAGTAGTTTAGACACTTTTTTTGTGTATCAATAAGTGGTGTAATAGGACACATGTGACTCAAATTGCGTGGGACACTACTAAATAGTATCTCCTATAATCGAGTCACATTAAGTCATAAAACATTTGAAAGTGTATTATTAGATTGTTACTCATTAACACACTTTAAAGTGACCCATTAAGTAAGGTAATAGTTCACAAGCAACCCCAAATAGTACACTTGTGATAGTGTTTCATAATATGAATACACTTTTTCATTTTCAATAAGATACTTTTTAGTAAATGTCCTAATACACATATAATAAGACACATTTTAGGAAAAATGTCTCATTATAAAGATATTAATAACCCATTTTTGTTGTAGTGTTATGAAATTTATTCATTTTGTTAAAACAATCACTCGTGGAAGGAGTAGTACTTATATATCTTTGCTTTGTGGGTTCAGAACGAAAGAAGAAAGCTATGGCATGCCAGGGACACCTATTTTAATATCAGTCCATTTATATGGGCTGATCAAATTATGAGGCCGATCTTGCTTATTCACGGAAAAGAAGATGGTAATGCGAAGACCCCCCCAATGCAGGTGACACTAGAGTACTCCAATTTAATTACCCTCTCCGTTCCATAATAATTGTCCAGTATGAATTCTCATTTCTAGTTTAAATTGTACTAAAAGTGAAATCTCAAACACAATAATTTTGGGACAGAGTATTTGCCTTGGACTTGTACCGTCTTTGTTGATGTTCTTTCGGATTTGCCCCTAATTGCCCTTTCATTTCTTCTGGTTACCACTTATCACCTCCTGGTTTTCAAATTCTATACATGCAGTCGGAGAGATTTTACGAGGGATTAGAAAAACTTGGAAAAACTACTAAACTAGTTATGCTTCCCAATGAAGGCCATACATATATTGCGCGTGACAGTATAATGCATGTACACTGGGAGATTGCAGAGTGGCTGAGAAAGTATTGCTTGATGGTGGAATAAGAGACCCATTACAAGAGGCAAACCCGCCACGGTACATTTCCCAAGCGGGGGATAAGACAGACTGCTTCTCAATTGTTAATTGCTCAGAAGTTAGCGCAGTCAAAAAGGAGAACCTTGGAGATGACCTAATTATCTTTTCACCGCACCTCTGTTTTCTTACAATTATTTGCAATGATGTTAGTAATGGTGTTAGACCTCTGTATTTTTGTTTTATTTGTTTTTCTTCTTATGTTGGTAGCTAACTTGTGTACCGCGCAACCTCAAACCTGTGGAGAGAATTTGATGTCCTGTCGAGTGCATGAACATGCGTTTGTTTTAAGCGTTTAAACTTATGTTTGAACTTTGATCATCATGTATCCAAAGGCTAATCTTTAATCTCAGCGGGAAGATGGCCACAATAACGTTCAATCATGTCGACTTAATTAATGGAGCAGATTATGCAATTACCTATCGTGTAAATCTATAGAGACATGTTTTGCCAAAAGTACGAGTTGTCTGTTAACTACACCAGTGCCATTCTGCTTGCAGTACTTTCTCGCCTAATTATTCTTCCAGGTGAAAGCATAATGCATGTCCTTTGGGAGATTGATCATTGATATATAGATGGCTACGAATGTATTAGAAAAAAGATGAACCCTGGAGAAATGGGTAGCTAACCAATAACACTGGCAATGGAGTAGATCGAAGGCAAACCTTTACACTGGTATAGACTAAGAGAAAACATTTGGCGTGGCATTTGTAGTTCTTGCTGGAAGTACTTTCCAGTTGTAATTGCAGCTGGTTGTTGTGGATTTTTGGGTGGTCAAAGAACTTGATTATGCATTAAAACTGGCTTCCCTGGTTCCACTCGACCATCTATTGATGGCTTGAATCATTAATTTCGAACTCAAGCAAATGTTTGTACTTTCCTTTAATATAAATTTTTATCATCTCATCATCATTGCTTACATACAAGAAACCTTAATTTACCCTTTAAAAAAAAGAAAAGGAAAAAATAAGAAGAAACCTATTAATTTAGGTGAACATTTTAGACCAGGATTAAAAGAAGCTAGTAACCGTTACGGCGATAAATTCATCACTGAAAACGCGGATAACATCAAGGACAAAGATTAAGAAATGCATCATCAAAATTCAGTACAGAAAGCTTTATTCTTTAGAAAATCCACAATTCATATGGTCATGGCTTGATCCAGAATCTCAACCGAACATGAAATAAATGACGTTTACATCATCATGAAATGATCGCCAAAACATGATTAGTTGACACATAAATTATTCTTCGGCAACCACAGAGATATCACCTTTCTCCAAAAGGTTGTAGAAGGCCCTTACTTTTCTCTGCTCGTTCCAGTGATGCATCTTCCATACAGTACCTGCAGCTAGGCCCAACACGGCTCCAATAACTAACTCCTTCACCACACTTGGTCCTGTCAATACCTTATGGCCACCCATTGAGCTTGATGGTTGAATGCAGAAAAGATTTCTGCAGAAAAAGAAAAACAATAATCAGCTATACAAGTAGGAAGAAAATGTTTCCAGAAGAAAATATAGGACATCCAGGTACTAGGCTAACCTAACCCAAATTTTTAGCTATACAAAACAGGCAAAACTGCAAAAGAGTAGGAAAACCTCCAGACTAATTGGAGGAAATGGAGTGCTGATGTCCTGTAGAAACCAGCAACATTCATCATGAAGGTACTAACTTAAGGTTTAACCTTTGTCTACCAGAAGTCTACAGCAAATAGAGCCATTTCCTCTCATGTTACCATATATTATCACTGTTAGCTAAATTTTTTTAAAGACCTTTTCTAAAAATTAGAATCAAACCCTCCAAGTCAAAGCCGTTTCCTATTCTCCTACAAAGTCATTAAGGGGACCAAGAGTATCAATTCCAAATTTTCCCCAAAATGAGGCTGAAAAACAATCGGAACACCACCTACCGAGCTCCTAACCACAAAAGCTGTGCGCAAGAGCAGACAAAACTAGCATTTGTCCAACTACTCAATCTGTTTTTTTACCACCAACCCAAAAAATTGAAAACCGAAAAAATCACAAGTATTAACAATGATCATAGGTTTGAGAAATTGAAAATCTTTCAAACAAAACACAGTTCCCAAGCATATACCACTAGAACCCACAACTTCACAGTGAAGACTTTATCTGACTGAGTTCTGCCATTCGGATCATTTCTGACCATATTATTCTGTTAACAGACATACCATTCAATTTCCTTTTTTTTCCTTCCAGCTGCTACCTTAAGCATTTTCCCCTCAATTTGTAAACCCTTTTTCTTTTTGATGCCTCAATCTAATCTACAGAGTCCACAAATCAATCTCAACATTTGCAGGATTCTATAAATCCGTTACAGTTTATAAGAAACTAATGCAGTTATCATTGCCTTAAACAACCCCTCAATTACAAGTTTTCCCAAAGGTTAATAACCCCAACATACGAACAACAATAATCAACAGAAATGTATTCCCATCATAATGTAAATGAATCATACACTGGAAAAAAAAAAAAAAAAACGACCCCAAAAACATTTCCAATCACACCTTGAGAAAAAAAATAACAAAACAAAACAAACATCACCAAAAAAAAAATCATTACAAACAATAATTTCATAAAGGCGCAGAAGCCCAGCTGCATCGCACAATTTCCTTACGAGATAGTAAATAGATCTAAGAAAAATGAGTCTCCGCATTCAAAAGAAGCTCTCAATTATCAGAAAAGGACAATCGAAAGGAAAATCGAAGCATAGGGTTTGCTTTTTACGATTTTACCAGCGTACAAAAGAAACAAAAACAAAAAAGCTCCAAAATCAAACCTAACGGTATAAAAGACGGAAGGTAACGGAAAAAAAATCCTGATATATTAAAATCGGAGGGGAGAGCAAAAGTTATTCACCTGAGAAGAGAAATGCGAAAATTCGGAGAAAACCAAACGACGGCGAATGGCCAGCTACGACGACGACGACTGAGAAATGAGGATGACAGATGGAAAGAACGCGAAGAATAATGCCAAAGGAGGCCTTTATGGGCTGACTAATGGGCTGAAACAATCCCGGAAATAAAATGAATAGCCTTACAATGTACACTTTCTTCTTTGGGCCTACGCCCCTAATAGATCTATGATTTTATCCTTTTTCTCGTGATTTTTTTTCAGAATAATATAATAGTATCTGTTCCATTCAATATACTTTTTTATGTTTTTAATACATTTTTTTACATTCTCAATACAAAAAACGCCTAAAAACACATGCTAAAAAAACGAAACAACATACCCTTATATTTATTTATTTTCACAAAAATACTCATAATTGTCAAATTTTTCATGTATTCCTTTGAATCTCAAAATTTTCAGAGCCCTTCCATCCCAAAAATAAAGTAATGTTTCTTGTATTGTTTTAATCGAACAAATTTGATCTTTTTTTTTTCTTTTAGATGGGAGTACATAAGATGAATGGTTGTGGGCTTAACCTACTTAACTAAACAAGTGATAGGAGAAAGAAAAACTACATTCTCATTTCATTTCAAATGCCCTTTGAGTTTGTTTTTAGTCGAAGTGCTTCGTGTAGTCTCCTTTAACAATTCTTTTCATGTGGTAAAAGATTTGTAGGAAGCCTGTTCAATGTAAATTATGTGCTGTGTAAGATGTATTACTATTCTAGGAAGTGGCAAGAAGTAAGATCTTGAGATTTTGTTAAACAGAGATACAAACTTAGTCAAATTCATGGGACTCCATGAACTTATTAGTTTGATGTCCCAAGTGGCCTGGGACTCCAACAAGCTCGAATGACAATAAATCGAGCATGTCATAAATGTACACGGTTTCCGGATGAGATTTATCACCCGCCACAAATTCATGAACAACACAATCAACTTCAATCGAACTGATTCCTAGTTTCTTCTGTATCCCAACTGTCTTCATTAGCTTCCTGACCTTGCTCGCCCCGCTCCAGTTTCCAAGTGCTGCGTAAATATTCGACAGCATGACATGATTTGAATCTCCATCGAGGTGAGTCATCAATCTTTCAGCCAATTTGACATCCCCTCTATTTCGACAAGCAGAGAATAATGATCCCAGTATGATTTCGTTTGGGATCATAGGCATGGATTCGATCACACGCATTGCATCTTCCAACATACCAGCCCTACCAAAGAGATCAACAATACATCCAAAATGTTCAACTCTTGGAGAGATTTTATGAACTCTGATCATGTCAGAGAACAAATCGAGGCCCTGCTGTACTAAACCTGCATGACTACACGCTGTTAAAACCCCGGTAAAGCTCACGGAATCTGGTTCAAACCCCTCATTTCGCATCGACTTAAAATGCTCAACTGAGTCTTTGGCTTCTCCATTGATTGCTAAACCTACAATGATGGAGTTCCAGGAGACTAAATTATGTCGAGACATGGTTTCAAATACGCGCCGAGCCAAATCAACACGTCCACATCGGCAATACATGTCGATCAAGGAATTGTTCAGACGAAGATTATCTCGATAATCGCGTAGCAAGATATACCGATGTAACCAGAGGCCTAAACCAAGCATTCCCAAATTAGCAACTGCGGAGAGCAAAGAAATAAGAGTCACAAAATCAGGCTCCGCACCAGATAACTGCATTTCCCGGAACCACACAAAAGCTTCTTCAAGAAGTCCTTGTTTAGTAAAACCACTTATCAAAGCCGTCCAGGAGATTGCATCTTTCACAGGCATTTCATCGAACAGGTTCACTGCTTCCTCAAACTCCCCATTTCTCATATACCCATTAATCATAGAGTTCCACGAGACCTTATTCCTCAAACCCATTTGATCAAAACATAATCTAGCTAGACCCATTTGGCCAAACTTCGAATACATATCAATAACAGCCGAACCAACCTTAACATTAGCGGTATCCAACCCGAGTTTTCTAATGTAACCATGGAGAGCGGACCCAAAGCTTAGAGCAGATTGAGAAGGAAAATGAGCACAGCCAGAGAGGAGAGGAAGGAAAGTAATGTGGTTGGGCTCTACTCCAGAAAGCCTCATGCGGGTGAAGGTGGAGGCCGCCATGGATAACCGCCCTTTCCGGCATTGTTGGGCTATGGAAGCAGTCCATGAAACAACTGGATCAGGGCTATCAATGTCGGCTATGGATTTGGGTTTAGGCGGACCGGGGTTGACGGCTGAGGTGCTGGCTGCGGCGGGCAAAGGCGGTGGTGGAGGAAGTTGTTGGGTGGCATTTGTGCCGGCCACGGAGGCGGGAAGGTTCGTACCGGCAGACATTTCTACAAATGGGGTCTTATTTTGCCGCTAAAATTTAAACAAATGATGTTCCAAATTTTCCAAGGCCCATATAAAACCTTTTGTTTTTTTTTTGGCGGTCATCAATTAATAAAACTTAACTTGAACCAAATGTGGAATTTTAGATGAGGTATCATTTTGACTAAATCATCATTAAGTTTTAATCATTTGGATAAATTATTCTCGTGCAATCGATCTTTGTTGAAATTCCTTTTTTCAATTTAAAATTCTTCCAGACTTTTAATAACATCGATTAAACTCTTATTAAATTGCGAGTACATTGAAGAATGTGATAGTTAGTCTTTTAAAACTTTTTTATATTCGATGCATAATTTGAACACTCCAATGTAGTTAAAAGAGAGCCTCTACCCTTCAGTCACACCATTTGGATTCATTGATCAGTGTCTCTAAATAATTATGCATGAATTTTGCAATAAGTTAATTCTATAATATAAAGAAATGTGATAGTAGTGAACCGGTCGAAAGTATCTCTCACTTGAGACAGGAGTATGAGTTCATATTAGAAAGGCCCAAAAAATGAGAAGAAGAAAATATTGTGACAGGAAATAACGTATGCTTATTGTGTACAAGTGTTTTTTTTCTTTTTTTCTTTGGCATAAAAGGCTACGATGATTTTGATTCCGACTAGCATAACCACAATACTTAAAGTATACCATCAAAATCTTAATTAATGAGTAACTACTAACTACAACGTAATGGAAAGCCAGCCACACAACAACTCATAAATACATACATTTTATAAGATTAAGATCAAACCACCAATCGATTATCATGTGATTTTCATCACATTAGGAAAAATATCATTATCATAGGGAAAACTCGATGCATTATAGTGTTTAGTTAATTAATATTAAAGATATAAAAAAAAATCAAGGCGGTGTATCACACAACTCATAAGATATTCTAATATTTATTCTGTACTACTTTTCAATGATACTGTTGATACCTGTTTAAATAATATATTTTAACCAAAATTACGAATGGAGTATTCTTATTCATTAAGTGATTAAGCACGTATCAGAATCGTAATATCGTAACTGATATCATATATATGTAATTCAAAAATGTTAGAGAAGATTTTTTTTTTATTTTTTTTTGCGTGCAAGTGTGCAGAAGATATATATTAAGAAGATAAGAGAAAAAAGGAAATGCAAAGAGATGATTGATTAGTGAGTCATGCTCATGCTGTAGGAGGAGTGAATAGTGGTGATGGAGACGTGGTGGTGGTGATAACTGATAAGAATAGGAGAATAGATTAGGGCCTTATGGGGCGGGGGGCAATTGGGATAAGCACCAATTGGCACTAAAACGTCAGCTAGCCAACCTTTCCCATCCTATTTTTTAAAAAAATATTTTATTCAACAACAAAAAAAAGAAAGCAACATGGAAAAGTGTCCAAAAAACTCTGTGATAGAACGTCTCTTCAAGGGGTAGGATGGACCTTTTCTTAGCTTGAATACGCTAATTTATTTATTTAATAAAGGTATAAATCATTTTCGTGAACAAGTACTAGTGTACTAGTACTGTATTTTGTAAGAAGATCATATTATTATGACCAAAAAAAAAAAAAAAAGAAGCAATATTACACGAGTGCAGCCTACATGTGTATATATAGGTCTAAAGGGATTTTTGACAAGTAGAAATATCTGAAAAATAAAGTTCATGCGTAAACCTCTATTGCAATTTGCTAATTGAATCTCGTATATCTTGCACTATGTAAAATACACAATATTACTATACCCGTCTCATAAAAGTAGTTCAATTTTAGTATATAAATCTTAATTGAATAAAGTACGATTATTTATTTAATAAATAATCATGAAACTTTATTCAAATTTTCTTATTAACTTTTTAATTTACAAGATTAAGTCATCTAATTTTTATATTTTTGTCTTTCAAATAGATTTTTTTTTTTTAAACGAAGAGAGTATCAATCTTGTTTTAATATTCGATTTCAATTCACTATCAAAGTGCTTACTAACATCTTAACTATAAGAAAAACGTGAGAAATATTTGAACTTTAATTAAGGAGAACAAATTTAAATTATTTTGAGCAAGTTTCCATGGAAAATCTAACTCGAAAACACCCAATTTTTTATTTTTTTATTTTTTTTATAAAAGCGTCCAACGTGGCAACACCCAAAGGGACCCTACATAGAATCCAAAAAGAAGTTTCCAACGTTTCTTTGATCAATAATCTTTTTGAGAGCGTTTCTTTCTTTCCTTTCTTTGCTTCCGTGTTGTTACGGACGACGGTGATGATGGGTACCGCGGGGGGTGGGGTCCATCACCTCGCCGCCGAATTTGCTTTGCTTTTGCGTAGGGAGCCGTTAATCAACAATCAGACAGCTCATATTCAAATTTCTCCCCGAGAGGGTGGCCCCCGCTTTCCAAAACATTCCCCCACAAAGAAAAAGAACCAAATGATAAAAATTTTCCTATCATTTTTTTTTTCTCTTCTTTTTTCTTGCTTCTTTAATTTGAAGAGACATTAGAAATGAAATGCAAGCTGAAATGGGAAAGAAAAAAAAACACACATACACTACACACACACACACATAAAAAAAAAAATGCAAAAAAAGGGACTTCGCCAACGAATATATTGACTTTGACAAATGTTCCATTGATGAAGCTTTGTATGCTCAGCTCAATTACAAATATAAACTTGAGCCATTAGGATCGTCCCTCCTACTCATAGAGTTGAGCAATTTATGTCTTGGATAAAATTCTTTCATATGTCTTAAAATTATTATATAATTTGAAATTTTATTTGGTTTACCATTTCAGAACGAATAGAAAATTTAGATTCGGCTGATATTCTTTATGGAACATATAATTCTAACAATAATATCAATACAATTAGCGTAGAACTGATTAAAGTTAGCTTCAACGGGGTTGGAGAGCTGCATAATTTAGCATATAATGCATGTTGTTGTAATAATTTAGGTACTTTTAATTAATATACAGGTACTATTTTATATATATATAATAATAATAAAAAAAAAAAAACAATACAATTATCGTAGGCATTCCCTTTCTATGTTGTTTGAACTTGTATCACATGCAAAATGCAACTAATCAAATTTCGACCAAATCTAAAATGCCCTACGAGTACTGTAATTGCAGATTTCATGATTTCATATTTTTGTCCAATTGCATTAATTTGTTGTGACGGAGAGGTAACTAAACTAGATAGTTGTTTCTCCTAGTTTATGTTTTTCCTCCTTTGATTAGATGGCTTTTAATGATCCACGCAATTAAGAGACAAATAATATAACACCAAGAGAACAAAATAAAAATAAAAATAAAATAAAATCACAAAGACTCACACACCTTTCTTTTTCGAAGCCTGCTGGACAGCATCAAAGCTTGGATGCTCAACACAAACTCCAAACATTTATGATGATTGAATTCGTAAGAAATTGAACATATTTGGGTGACAACAAATTCATCACTGTTGCTGTTGACCTCTGATTACAATTTTTATGTCCATCAACAAAAATTAAAATATGTGTCCAAAATGATGGCTCCCAATGTTGTATTATTCGTAATGTAATAAATAAGATAATTATTATTATGTAACGAGGAAATTATATATATTTTCTTTTCAAAAACGACGTTATTCCCTCTTGGAAAATATACATTCAGGTATTTATATGAAAAGTCTGAACCCAATTTATCAAGTCTAACCATATAGCTAAAAGTTTGTCACATGAGATTTTTTCTTATAAATCATGGTTAAATCTTGTACGTCAGAAAATTAGAAAGAATTTTTCTTAGGCCCATAATGTGTTACTTTTATTAAATCATAATCCGAAAACTCAAAATTTATCATTTTACCATTCATATCTATCTATCTTCTATATATTATACTAAGCCAAAAACCAGAGAGAGAAAACTAAAGGCATGGAGCCTATGTAGCATTTTCTTAATTTCTTAGACTTAAAAATGCACTAAACAAAATAATAAAACAAAAAAAAAACAACTAAAATAATTTTTTTTAAAAAAACAAAATAATAAAAACCGAACCCTTATTTTCATGAACCAAATCCTAACGCAGAGATTGATTGGAGAGAGTACCAAATCCTCACAAATTTTAGAGAGATCTGCATAAACCTTATCACCAGTGAATTTAAAATGTCATTTAAAAAAAAACAAATTCCTGTAAATCCAGAGGTAATCATGTTTAAAACTGAAGTCATTACATATTTTATAAAAATACAAAATTTATGTAAAAATGTCTAAATGTGTATCCCTGGACGGGTCTAATACCTAGTACTATCATTATCATAATTCAGGTTATGAACCATATTGCATTGGAGGTGGGACTAAAACATGCAAATACTGCTAAAAGATGGATGGTTTTTGTGAAATCTGAAACCGCGTTTTGATAAAGTCAAACCATAATGGATAATTATTTAAATTATTAATTTGGGTTTCTATAATTGTAAAATTGTTTATGTATATATAGTCTGCCATATCATGACAGACTCCATGACATACTCACTACTATTAGTGGGATTCCAAAATTATGTGCTACTAATCATTATGCTCTTAATTAAATATATGTACATGGTCCTATTATAAGCAATATTTTAAAGAAATAATTGAATATGAGCCCCTCAATGTTTTCTTATTTTGCAAATTACCTACCCGAATACTCACTATAGCAATTAACAACACACATATTTCTATTTTCTTGCAATTTACCAGTATTCAAAGATCAATACTTCACCACATAATTTTTCCCTTTAGATTTCAATAAATTATCAAGAATTTCATATGGTTTTAAATCCTAACATGCGTATATCCTTTGACTTAATTAGATGGTAAGCTTTTGTATGATCATTACGTGATTTTCACTAGCTAATAAAAATGAAAATGTATCAGAGAATTATCAATTTAGAAGTTAGTTGAATGGCACATATTTAAACATAGTGTGAGGGGGTATTTTGCAGAGAAGCAAAACTTGAAGGGGCTCGCTTTTGCAATTAACAGTAATCCAAATCCATTCGAGGGTATTCCAGGAAATTCACAGGGATTAATACGGATATATATGCCAACGTTCGAAAGGAATCCCTTTTTGCACAAAACAGAACAAATAAGAAGAGGAAGAAGAAGAAGAAGAAAAGCAGAAATAAGAAAAACAGAGTGCTGAAAGTCTGAAATACAGAGCAAAAGAATTTCTTAAAATAGAAAGGCCAGAAATCAAGAAAGAAAGGGAAAAAATATGGCAGAAATAGTATTGAAAGTGGATGATGAGTTTGATTATGATGTTCCATCATCATCACCATCATGTTATTCTGCAACTCCAACCTGTAGAATATGCCATGAAGGAGAGCTTGAAAGCTGTAAGAAGCTGGAAACTCCTTGTTCTTGTTCTGGAACTATCCAGGTTTGATTTTTCCTATTCCCACTTTCCTTTAATTGCCCACTTTCCTAATTATGAACTTGTTTTTATGGAATTTTAATTAATTTTTTCTGTCCCCTGTTTCTTTCTTTCTTTCTTTCTCCCAGTTTGCTCACAGAGACTGCATAATGAGATGGTGTATTGAAAAGGGAAACGCAGTCTGTGAAATTTGTTTACAGGTTCTTTCTTCTTCTTTTTTTCTGCTTACTATTCATCTTCTTGCCAATTTGAATTCCCAGAAAGCCTGTTTTTTGGTTGCTTTTTTTCCATTTAAATTTTAGTTGTTAGACTTCTGAGAAATGATGAAATTCAACCTCTTTTTTTTTTTCATAAAATTAGTCGTGCCCAGTTGTTAAAAAAACACAAAAATTCCAGAGTTAATCTCATTACCTGGCTGGCCTTTTCAAGCTCTTGTCTTGTTGCTTTCATGTCACTGTCAAATTTTTAGGAGCTTACATAGTTCGTATCTATCCAGTTCTTCAGAGAATTAGTAATTTATTTGAAGATTTTGTGGGTAATTTTTTAATGGCCTTATTGTTGTTGATGGTTTATCAGAACACCATTTGGCTGGCACTTAGATAAAGCCATACATAGTTTTTTTTTTTTTTTCAATTGTGAAATAGTGAATATTACGAAGTTTGCTGACTGAATTCTTAACAACATTTGACAACTCGATGATGTTCGGTGCACCCAAATGTTTTTCTTTTTCCTAATATTCGTTCAAAGTTCAAACCTTTGACAGTGACAATTATTTTGTAAGCTCTCTACGTAATGACCGATACTAAAAAGCCGCCTGTTGTTTATTTTTACCCTTTTTTCGTACAAATTTATCATCATCAAATTAAAGTAAATAGTCTTACTGATGTAAAAATGATTGTTTACTAGTACTACATATGTCTCAACAAGATTGTCCAGTTTAGATTTCACTTTTTGTTCATTCTGTATAAAAAATACGGAGGGAGTATAATTTTTTTTTTGGACGGAAGGACTAATGCTTAGGGTGTTTGATTGTAATAATTGGGTTGCAGAAATTTGAACCTGGCTATGTTATAGCACTGCCAAAGAAGGAGCCCCCAGTTGATTCACAAGTAACAATAAGGTGGGTTGTATTTTATTCTCCAATTATATTTACTAGTATAATTTTTCATAAAATGTGTGCATTTATTGGTGTTTAGTTTTTATTTCCTCACGACCCTCCAACCTTCTATGAATCATTGACTTTTCTTTTTTATACAAAATTAAATTAGTTAAATTAATTTGTTATTTGATTTTAGTCCGTCATCCCATGTGATTAAATTACGTATAATTTTCGTAATTAATTTAGAATAGTAGATAGATAGGGGACAATACGGTGGATGAACGGCTTTGCCAACCAAATATTACGTTGGAGGACATAGGAAAATACCTCATGGTTGCCTCCTCTGTTTTCTAAAAGAGTTTTCTCACACGTCTCAAGAAATCACGTAGATTTGTGTTATTATTACATTAGTTTAATGTTTTACAGTTTGTCCTTCTTTGACTAATTTTTCTAATGTGACCATTCGTCGCGTGATTATAAATTTGTGTATCTGTTTTATTAGTAAAAATGAGATGCCTATGTACTGTTTTCACTTTCCATAACAATATATACTTGTATACATAACAGTAAGATCAACTCCTGTTATGGCTTCAAATGTATTGCTGGTTTCGTTTCTTGATTAACATTTCGTGAAGTAATTATAATAATTTCTTTAAAAAAAGAAAAATTAGATGACACAAGTGAAAATTGAACTCTCGACCTTTTGATAATAATCATCCCTATCCTAATCCCCTAACCGCCCCATCCGGCCCTCTCACCCAGTTATAGTATTTCTTCCTTCCCATTTTAAACCGATGGAAGTAACACGTTAAAAAAGTCTAGAAAATTCTTTCATTATTAAAATTTTTCTGGGTGGTTCGAAATTGAGAAAAGGATACTATAATAAGAATGTATTGGAAATATCAGGGTGAGTGTGGAGATTCCAAGGGGAAATGCGATGGGTGAAGAAGAAGAAACCCAATATTCTGAATGCTCATCCACAATCTATACAAGTGTCTCTTACTGCAGATCAGTGGCTCTTATGGTAACCTACTTTTCCATACTTTATCCTCTACTTTCATTTTTAATAGTTTCTTTTCCTTTTTCTTTTCTTTTTTGTTGGTGTAAATTAGAATATCCATTTGCATTCATCATTTCATAGAAATCACCAATTTTAGCTGATGCAAATATTCTATGGACAATGACTTATAATAACTGTACTGTACTTTCACATTTCTCAACATGTTTTGGAATTTGTATTTTGTTCCTCCGCACATTACAAATTTTGTTTCTTGGCACTTCTTGTCTTTCACATATTCTTTTTGTTTCATAATGGCTATTCGACATGATCAAAATAATTATTTCAAGACGGAAGAAGTATCATCATTGAATGATGTTTAACCCTTTATGTGCATTTATCAGGGGAAGGGGGAAAAAAACCTTCTCTCTTGTCTAAATTATATTTTATAAATATGGGCATGGAGGGAGTAAAAACTAAAATGTATACTGAATAATAATACAATGTGTCCTGCTAAAAATGATTATTTTGCCATTTTTAAGAACTAAAAAAGTTTGCTTAACAATCTAACTGTTAGACCCTGAATTCTCAAACATTTGGTTGGGATTTTTGTGGGCAGTTTACGTTTCTGCTGCTAACCAGACATATGTTGGAGCTGCTGTATCAAGGAACTGGAGATTATCCTTTTACGTTACTCACAGTAAGTAGTACCACCAGTCCACCAGTCCACCATCATCAACAAACTTAAATTATGGTAATTATGCTTTGTTAGTTTCTGAGGACTAACCTTAATTTGGAAACAAAATGCTGTTGCAGTTGTTGATCTTAAGGTCAGTAGGGATTCTGCTGCCAATGTATGTATTGCTTAAGATTATCACCGCCATTCAAACGACTATTAACACCCAACAATACCAGGTTTGTTACTACATTCACCTCATCATATGTATTGTAGGATATCCCACAGCAATCATACTTCAACTGGGTGCCCTTTTTCAATTTTTAGTCCCATCGCAATAAAAGTTAATCAACTACATACCTAATTTTTGATTTGATAGTTCTAATTAGGGGACTAAACCAACCACTTAACCACCAGTCTATAAAAGTTGATGGAAAATAAGCTCATCGATGGATTAGACCTGCTAATGAAAATATGGACATGATTGAACCTTTTCTTAATCAGGACTAAATCAAATGAGGACCCCAAGTTTAGGAATTACCTGTATGTATGTAGAGATCAGAAGCTGAATTAATACTGATATCCTCTGTTTCACTATCTCTACAGGTTTAATGACCATCGTATTCGTATACCAACTAGAAACTATGATGACAATGTAAATCAGCAGCAGCAGCAGCAGCCATCAGCTACCAACTGGTCCAACTCTACATATGTTTCTTTCTTATTCTTTTTTTTTTTTCTTGAATTTTATAGCTCATTTATCAGTTCTTTAATTCTTTTTGTTATTGAAGAAGAGCATCCAGTCGATGCTCTGACCTGTATATGTAAATTCTCTTACAAGTACAAAGACTATTATTATGCAGTTAAAGGAAAAAAGAACGGAAGATTTTCACATTGTTTTGTATTGCAGATATACTCTGTAGTCCTTACCAAGAACTTATTTCCATGACTCCCATACAAGATATAGATCATTATCAGATTAACAACAAATGAGTCAATGATCATTGCTCATGCATACCTCCTCACTAGTAGTCAGTGCAAGAACATTGTATATATCATCACATCCCCAGAACATGAATTCCTTTCAGGCATTTCATCGAACATCTTTTAAGCATCCACAGGATTCAGAGCGCAGAATACATGAGGAACCTAGGTGGGGTTGTTTTTGAAATCCTGAAGTATTTTTAGATGAACCAACTTCCCATCACGTTTTAAGGACTTAGCACATGTTTGAGGCAGATTTTTGCCATTTGGAGCGCGATTGAATGCTAACAGCAAAAGAGAAGTCCATTGAAGAAATTTAAGGGCGGCTTCATTAAGATTGCCTTGCGCCCGATAAAGAAATGGAGGACACAGTTGGCTTTAGGCTTGAAGTTTGCTAATTTTCCTCTTTCTCGAGCACTATATAACAAAACAAAGGACAATTGGGAAGAAGCAACCTCAAACCACGAAGAGCCAATTAGAAGGTGAAATACACTTGGATACAGCTGGGATCAATCCTATACAACAGCCTAAATCAGTGGGATCCTAATTTTGTTCTAAGAGCACCCTTTTCACTTTACGTTGAAGTTCAATTAATGGTGAATCTTCACCCTCCATAAAATCTTGAGAGCAACTTCCACTGGAATCAACCTTCATCAAGTTACTCATTACATCTTTTAACTCTTTGTTCCAATCTGGGGAAGAGAAGAATGTGTCCTGGGATCCCCTTTTGTTGCTCTTGCCATAAGCTTCTTCGAATTCCCTAGACTTTGAAGCCGCCTTTTGGAGCACAACATCAGGAAGTCCTGCAATGAAATAAATACACTGGAGTCACAACTAAGAACTGCATAAGATAACGATTAAAATCAAAGGTTTCAAGTACACCATTCTTGGCAGAACACACAGGACTTCAATTGTTTCCAGATTTTTACTTGTTTTAGAAAATCTTTCCCATTCAAGATGGATGGTTCTGAACTAAGTTTACTCTTACACAATTTACCCAGAAGGTCAGCCAGAAAAATCACAGATATAAAAGCCGAAAGGGGAGGGGGCCATTAGAAAGATGAAAAACTAGACTCCTGAAGTATGAAAGTAACAATATACACAAGCTAACTGAGAAAAGTCACAAAGAATTCTGCAAGTTGCATTTTACAAATACATCAATCAGACCATCAGGAGACAAAGAGAGGGAGAGAGTACTTCAGAGACAAAATAACATACCAGCTATCCTCGCAACATTTACACCATAACTTTTGGGGCATGCACCAGGAGTTAATCTGTAAAGAAATGTAACTTCCTCTAGACCTTCAGTTCCTTTGCCGACTTGGCAGGCCATGTGACAGAGGGAAACCTGTAAAAAAAAGGGACGATCTCAATAGGCTATCTGAGGATTCAAATCTAAAAGCTTTGACAGTGAAGCCGAAATCCGTTATCATAACATAGATCATCGCATCAACCAATCAACAATTTCTAACATGTACCAACTTTCGAGACCACGTATTCGTATTAGTCAGCTAAAATGAAGGCTCACAATTCTGAAAGGGGGAAAAAATCTACAATCAGGCTCGAAGAGAACATACATTGGGATCCCTCTCGTGGTTGATAGCCAATCGATGATAGTGAGTAGAGAACAATCCACGGCACTGCACCTTGCGTACAAAATGTTCAAGAACTGCTTCACTGATGGAAAAATCCAGGAAAAGAATGAAAAAAAATTAGGAGGTGCTAAAGACAAGACCAAAAGGAACAAAGAAAGAAAACATTTAAACAACAAAGAACTTTCGGCTAAAGCTTACGCTATTGCTTGTCCATCTGAAGTCGACGTCCCTCGTCCAAGTTCATCCAAAGCAACAATTGAATTGCGAGTCGCCAGTGACTGCAAATAACCATCAAACTTAAATTCAGAGAGAGAAAGCTTCAACGACAACAGTAAACTGGTAAATCCAGGCATTTTTCTTCTCAGCCAGTAAGTTCTAAAACCAAGGATTCTTAAGCAACAACAATTTGGATACAGAAGCATGAAAAATTCTTTGACATTTCGTTCTGCTATCCTTAAAACTCAAACAACAAGAATCAAAACATTCTTAAACTGTTCACGTAAATCATGAAATCATGCAGAAAGAAATATGACACATCCCATGCATGATCTAAAGGTTAAGCCAGGATCCTCAGAATTGACAAGCATTCTCACCAGCATGGATGCAGTTTCCGAAAGCTCTGTCAAGAATGTACTTTGCCCAGCCATAATATGATCCCTTGCACCCATTCGAACAAAAATACGGTCAACAGGAGACATCACAAAACTTTCGGCAGGTACATCTGCTCCCAACTGTGAACCATCAGGAGCAAGCTCATCAATCATGAAGGGACAAGTTTACAAAAGCCAGATAATTGAAATATATATATATATATATATATATATATATATTACCTGGGCCAGAATGACCGCCAAGCACACTTGTCGCAGAAACGTTGATTTCCCACCCATGTTAGGTCCAGTAAGCAAAATAAAGGCTGCATTTCCAGATCCACCAAGAGTGACATCATTCGGAACAAATGCACCCTTGCCAAGGCAATCACTCCTAAGAATTGCATGCCCTAAACTTTTAGCAGTAAGATGCGGTACTGCATCAGGAGATGATACACCAGTAAAAACTGGGCGACAGGTTGGTCCTTCATAGTAGTCACTTGCAATAGATATGCTAATTAGGACATCCAGTTCTGCAAAATTAATAATGTATTAAAGGCATGAGTAATTTGTAGTTATTAACCACCAACGAGCCCTCCCAAATGACATCAATAAAAACCTGTTGTTTGCATAGCAGATTACTAAAAAGTATTATAAAAACAGTGCTCATCAAAATTTAGTAGAAGGGGGCCACGATTGAAATTAACTTATTGCACCCCAGATTACGAATTTGGCAAATGGAAACCAAAGAAAAACTTCAGTTGTTCTGTAACAAGTATTGCCATTCAACATGCGAAGGAGTAGATTCCAGAAAGCACCCAACCCAAGATGAATATGCAAAATACAACATTTTTTATTTTAGCACCCAAACCAAAAATTGGAGAAACAACTATTGAGTGACGATGTACAGGAGGGCAAGCAAATATGATACTGGAAAAATATCAAAATGCGATCTTTGAGACCATGTATTGCATCGTACACATAAAAGGGCTTACAGTGGAATCTCTAGTGAATAGAATATAGCACAGGCGTTAAATTAATTTAGAATGGAGATCTACCTGCAGTTGTCGCAACCAGTTGTCCCCACATATTATGATTTTCACTAAATTTTCTAACCAATCTCTGTAAAATGCTTTTCAACTTTGATTCCTTCTCTGATTCGGCTAGTGACAACTCGCCCATTAACTTTTTAATGGTTGGTGTCCAGTAGCGGGAATAACCCTGCGTTGAAAATTTTTGTGCTCAACTGATTAAATCACCTCATGCAGCAAATATAATGTTATTGCCATAATCACTGATTGTAACAGCATATTAGACTTAAAAGGATAAAATGCTGAAAATTCTTGAGCACAATAATGGAAAGAATAACATATTTCAGGTTATCAAGCGGCCATATATAAGCTTATGAGTCATTCTGTAGATACTTATCCACTGCAAAGAAAGCCACAGGAGTTTTTCCTCCAATCTCCACTCAACCAATTGGGAACTTGTTTTGAACCAATACTAACAACAGCATCATTAAATTCATAAATTTAGTCTTAGGTATAAACAATTCCTACAGTATTGCTTATAATATATTGGACAAATTTAGGTGTTGTTTAGGCAGATAGGATTCCTTAAAATGACCGCAATTGGCATTTCCTCCTTCACTGGAGCAAGGAATTATTTCTTTTCAAACCTACGATAAATCAAATTGTAAAGGAATAAACTATAAATCACATACATAATTATTATATACCTTTTTAGATGACTGAAGTTCATACTCTCGTGGAAGACTTTCACACAAACTCTCGGGCACTTCCAGGAGATAGGAATCTTTTCCAATTGTAACATACTTGATCTAAAGAATGTATAGTTCATCAGAAATGAAGATCATAAAGAATATTGAGGTCTCAATACTTAGAGATACTTGGAAGGTCCTTACAGATGAATCTCCAAGCTGTTTTCTCTGTTCCTTCAAATGTTTCATCAAACTGGATTCGACTTCCCCAACACTTCTGCATGCATCATCATATTCCGCATCAACCCCTTCTCTAGGTATGATACGGCCTGATTTCTCTGCCTCCACCCAGTCAAAACCCTCCTTGAACTCACTGAGAATTGGGTGTACTTCAGGAAGTCCTTTACCTGCCAAATCTACAGGTGTAAATTTTCAAGCAATAACTGAAATAAATATGTGAAAACAACAAGTGATTTATACCAGGTGTCAACAAATGATGTAATAGCTTGGAATCTACAGTTTCCGTGATAGAAGCGAGTGTGGAGCATGCACGGGAAATAATTTCACAACCACGCAAAGCTGAGATAAACTCTTGCAACTGCTTCTTTGCAGCATCTTCATATAGTATTACTTTATTTGCGTTTCGTCCCATGGCTTCACTGCAGTTAACCAAAAATCAGGGAGGAACTCATTAAATAGGACTAATGCATTCTTCCAATAGGTGCCAGTAACCTTTCAATAGGAACTCATTTTACCACTGTCAAATTTCTTTACCTACTAGCAAAAATACGTGCCAGTAACCTTTCAATATCCGGAAGCCTGGACAACTCCTTTCGAAACTCAAGGACAAAAGGTTGATTTACTCCCTAAAATGGCATCATAGATGAGTTAGCAATATATATTCAGACAAAACAAGTACATCAAATTTATGGAAGTGCTTTAAAAGGTAACCCACTGGTATAACATAGGATATCATTTCTTTAAATGGTTTGAGTGGGTAGAAAATAAGCAAATAAACCTGCTAGCAAAAGGAATCACCTAAATGACTATGCAGAGAGAGAAGCAACTCATACACAGGGAAGCTATACATACAGTGGTAAGCGAACAACAAAAATGAAGCATTAAAAGTGACTCATCTTTTTACAGTCCTCACTTCTGTGGCAAAAGAAAATACAACAACAAGCACAAAAACATTGAAAGAGAAATTTAGTGTACCTTTAACCCTGCTACAGCATCCTGCCGTTCTTGAATTGATTCCACATGATACAAAGGCCTAGCAAGCCATTTCTTGAGTAACCTTTTCCCAAAAGCTGTTACACAGTAGTTCAACTGAGCATATAAGGTCCTACATTCACAGAAACAACAAGAATGTCAAAAAGGATAAAACCAAAATAGAATAAATGAACAACAGGATGTTCCACACATACCCTTCCGTATCTCCATTTCTGCTATTTTCAAATATCTCAAGGTTTTCAAAAGCCGCTGAATCCAAAACCATGTATGGCTTTTGAGCGATTTCACCAAAGCCAGTACACGGGAGTAACTCAAATTTTGCAAATCTAAGAAGAGACTCATCCAGAAAAGCATTTTTCAAGTAGAAAAGGGTGCCCCCAAGGGCTGAAAGTGCATAGCTTCCTTCTTCCCCCGCAGCCACAAGCTCGGCCAAAATAGATGGCAAGAAGTCACCGCCATCACTAACTGTCTGAGAAACGGCATCATTCTGAGAAAGAGAAGCTGTCTGACTGTTAACACGCTGATAGATACATTTTACTTCGTGTATGGCTTTCTCTGCATCCCAGAATTCAGAAAGGGGAACCAAATCATTAATCAAAGGATTTCGAGTATGCCGGAATAATATTCTCTCAGTGTCAGGACTGAGCAGTTTTGCGGGTTTGATAATTTCGACTGGCCTCAGCTCAGATAGTAGAGAGCACAATACGCCACAATCTGAATCATCCCTGAACTGTTTCAGCAGAAATGTGCATAATCAGAAACACCATATTATTGCTATTGATCAACACTAAAAGGTACCACCATAAATTACTACTAAACTGCCTCGCTATATTCCGGCAAGAAGATATCAGTAAAATTTTTAAAAAAATAATAAATCATCTATTGCAGGGTGCATATATAATTCACAAGGATGCAAGGCAAGCAAACTTAAGAATCACATTAAAAACGAAATGCATCCATGTCATAACAAGAAATATAGTGGGAATAAAATAAAAGAAAAAACAAAATATGGTCATCTAGATGGCCTCTTATTTTAAGGGAAACATTTTGTGCCTCCCATCACTCGCCATCCTTGAACATGTTCAGAGGACATCATCAACCTTAATCCAATTAGTTCCAGACATACCAAGTAACATTTAGTTCAAAAGCAACTTCACAGAACTAGGTCGTAACTAGTCCACCACATATGACTGAAGAAGTAAAAAAACTCCTTAAGTTACAAGGATACATCCATCTCCATCATAGCCTCATACCTGTCCAATTAAAACTCTGCTTGTGGCTACATCAACCGCACATACACCAAATATCCGATCTCCTGTTTCATTTTCTGAATTTTGACAGCTCTCCATCACTGCCATTAGATAAGAAGAATCAGGATTTGCTGAGAGCATTTCTCCTTCCGTTAAGGTTCCTTTTGTAACCACAGCACATATTTCACGTTTCACAACCTGGAAATGGTTGATATATATTAGCATTGCATGCAAGATACAACAAAATGAAATCAAAGAAACAATGAAGAAACTGCATATTCATTGTTGCTATCAAAAAGAAAGCAGTACAAGATACCTTATCCTTAGACCCCTCCTCCCTGCGACGAAGCTCAAGCTGCTCAGGTGTTTCAGTTTGCTCCACAACAAGCACCCGATAGCCCTGTTTTGTCACAGCACTAGAAGTAAGAACATACAAAGAAACAACAAAGCAAGCTTAGAAAGACCAAAGTGTATACAACTTAGCATTATTCTTTACAACCTTCCGGGCCAGTTTCTCCACATTCATTGAGAAATTCTTCTCAGGAAATCCACAATGAGGTTGTTCTCCCTGCGAGATTAACATACACCCGGATATAGCTTCAGTGATAATAGCAAAGTTTGAAGAACAAGGATGCTGAAAAGATCATTTACAAAAACACGAACAAGACCGGGATATCCTGTCAAATAAACTAAGCATAATCATCTTTTAATATTATGAACATACTTTACATCTTCCGCCCAAATAATAAACTACCTTCATATACTGCAGGTCCAGCTCTTTGGCCCCAACATGTGCATCCATTTCAAAAAGCTCATAAAATTTTCCCATCTGATTAAGAAGCAAAGCAAATTATTAGCAGAATAGAAAAGCTTGAAGCCACAAAATGAACCAAGTTAACTGCAAAGGAGTTATCTCGACCAAAGAATTACCTTGAAAAACAGAACCTTGTCCATGTGCTTTGACTTAAACTCCCACCATTGTCTCTACATAGAAGCAAATTTCATACTTAATTTCTTGCACTAATTAACAGTCCAACCAAGAACACAAACTGGTTGCCAGGAAAACTAAATACCTGTCCGCTGGGTAATCCTTTCAAAAAATCAGGAGGTAAGTACAAAGTCTTTGGATCATAGTCAGCATCTCCAGGACGTCTTCGTTTACCATCCCTACGCGCTCTGTGTTTGCCAAGAAAGCCAATACAGTTCCATTTAAATAGGGGGTAAAAAGAAATAATAATATTGCCTTTGTTCAACATTACCGAAGTACACAGCGCAAAGAGATTTCAAGTATACACCGTAAGTATTTGCATGATGATTCCTTAATATATCTTAAACCATACAAAAAGACAGTAAACAGCAGAACTCAGATTAAAACGTACAGTCCCAAGAAGCGAAGCTTCTCTGCTTCACGGGCTCCAAACCTTTCTGCAAAATTATCTACCGGAGGCTTGCAAATATCAACACCTTTCTCACCTGCAATTACGTAAACCCTCAAGTTAAGATAATTTCCATCAGTTATCGGAAAGTACCAAAACAAGAAAGCTAGAAAAGTTGAATTCACTCTTTGGCTGAACAAGACTGCACAATAAATCATGTTTCCTTTTTTGAACAAGGTAATGATTATTCTTTTGAGAATTAAAAAATTCATAGTAAGTTCGAAACTACCAGAAATTAAAAAGGGACCTTTTCTATGGGACGGAGTAGGTACACCATAAGAACAACTATGTAATCAGAGTCCAGAGAGAAACTCAAGTTACCAATATACTTACTCTCTGCAGTTCGAGTAGTATCCGCCGCAATTGACGGCTTCTTATCAGTCATTGAAGCAACTTTGCAGACATTATTAACATTATTAGTTTGTTTGGTGCTGTCATTATTACTCTTCCTCTTCTTACTAGAAAATGAAAGGAGTTTTCCTAATCCTCCAGAAACCTTCCTCTTCTTATAACTCGTTTTACTTCTTTTCGCGCCAATGTCATCATCATCATCCTCCAAATCTAAATCCATGTCCTCCAATACATCCTCCTCCACCACCTCCTTTTCAGCATTTTTTTCGCCCCAATCTTCATCTTCAGAATCATCATCTTCACACGCCCCATTCCCCTCGTTCTCTTCGTCTTCTTCATCTTCATCTTCCACAACTGTAAGCCGACGCAGGCGGCGGAACTTCTTCACCGGTGGTAGCGATTGCTCCTTCTCCTCCGCCAGCCACTCAATCCTTTCGTTCGACAAATTCAACATTTCCTCCTCGGCATCGTCGTATAACACCAAATGCTTACCACTGACCTCGTCGAAACGCTTGACGCAACCCTCGTACCAAGATTTATCCAACGGCCAATATACCCTAATCCGTCTCCCAACAACTTCAGCTCCATTGGAATCCTTGGGAGTAGCGGAATCTGGAGTCGAGTTAGGAGATGGACCGACGACTAGCAAGGGTTTCTTAGGCTTCTGTTGGATGGGGGAAGGAGTGGCCGGGCCTGGGCTCGGGCCGGGACTCGGGCTGCCGTCGGATTTCGGGCTAGGGTTTGGTTTAGGCGGGGAGGAGGTCTTCTTGGAGAAGAAAGCAGTGATTTGGCGCTGGGGATTAACCAGCGGCGATCGCCCATTGGTTGGCCGGCGCGAAGCCATGGTTGCCGGAGAGAAAGAGGAAAGCTGAAATGAGGTGTTGGAAGAGGGAAATGAGCTAATTGTAGTGATTAATTGGCGGGAAAATTTTAGCCAGCAAACGGCGCCGTTGACCCGGTGGATGGGGCTTTGGCGGGAAGTGTTTCGCGGGTAGGATTAACTAATTCTTCTTAATTGTATTTATCCATCCTATTGTGAGGTCCCTACGTACCAAAACATGAGTTACACAAAAATCATTATAAGTCGAAAATTATCAATTAAGATTGTACAAATGACTGGCCAGATTCAGTAAACTAAGAACATTGGGATTAACGAACTGTGTAGCCGAAAAAAAATGGTAAAATCTGGTGTAGTTCCCTTTTTCTAATTAAAAAAATAATAATTGTCTCAATCCAACATATTTTTTACATTTTCAATACATTTTTTACATTTTCAATACAAAAATACCTAAAAATACACACTAAAAAAACGAAACAAACATATCCTAAATTACTCACTCTAACGGCCTACAAATCACAGTAAAAATTAACTCATTTTAGACAAAATCGGGTACAAAATTAGTGATTCATGTCTGAATTTGTCATAACATCCCTCTAAAGGTGACTATGGGGAAAAGTAGAGCATTAAACAATAGAGCGATTTTTAGAATAATTCTTGAGAAAAAGGATGCTTTAGAGCAATTTTTTCTTATAGAGCAAAGATAAAGATAAAGATCTTATTTAGGGAGCTGATATAAGAAAGTTTTAAGATACTCAATATAAAAGCGTAATTGTTTACATTTTTTAATTTTTGTGAAAGTGCACTTATTTATATATTTTCTCTGTTCCAAAATGATTGTCCGGTTTGAATATTTACTTTTAGCAAAACTTTAACTAAAAATGAAAATTTAAACTAAATTATTATTTGGGGAAGAGAAGAGTATATCTTTTACATAGGAACTGATTTTTATTTTTATTTTTTTTAAAACCACCTTACAACTATTTAGACTATTACATGTGTGAGGTATATGGGAAAATGGATAGAGCGAATAAGAGAGTTGGATGGAGATAAATAAAGATTAATGTTTATTATAAGTTTTTTTTTTTTTGGTAACGCCGGGAACCCCACCAGAGATGGTGGTAAGCCCGGGGTGACAAGTTCGTGTGCAAAATCGAGGGTTCATGAGTGGGTTTGTCATAACAAGCTCTTTAGAGATGCTCATTGGTAAGGTTAGAGTCGCCTCCTCACTCTTTTTAGAGTGGGGGTTTGAACTCATGACCTCGTCTTGGGAATAAGGGTGGTTTTATCACTGAACCAACACCTCAGTCACAAATTTTTATTATAAATAATTTTTAAAAAAATATATATATAATAATCCTATTTCATAAACTTATTCAGTACTAATGGTCAATTGATTGATACAATTTAATTACATGATCTCATAATAATTTAATTGATTAATAACTGAACTAATTAAGTTACTTTTTTTTTTATATGTAGTATGTTAACTTAAGTGAATCTGAAATGCATGTATAGATGTAAGTCTTAAAATAACTGGTAGACCTAACACTTATTACTGAACTAAATTATTGAGACATTTTTATTTCTCTACCTAATTATGTACTTTTATGTTTATATTTTTTTATGTCTTATCTTATATTCATTTTTATTAATCTTGGCATTTATTTTAAAATTATAAATTATATAATTATTTTTTATTGTTTAATATATTGTTGTTTATTTTATTATAAAAAATAAAATGCAAATAAAGTCCATGATAAGCAAGTATTTACTATGAGGATATGCTATTATTATTATTCGTGAAATAATTAGTCAATAAAAAAATATTTGTATTACATAGTTTTATTATGATAGTTTTATACATTTCATTTAATTTTTTTAGACAAAATTATAATTCAAGATATTATTGACTTCATATTTTAGACCTTTTTTTTTTCAGTTTTCAATCAAACAAGACAAGCTAAATTACTTTAGTTCTTAGTTGTTTTTGGTTCAATTTTTCAGACTTTAGACCCCAAAGTAAGTTTTATTGAACACAGTCTAAGTATGTTTAGATAAATATACTCGTCTCAAGAGAAATTATTGTCACTTCTTCATGTACAAGATAAAATTATACTAACTGTGTTAATTTTTATATTATAAATATATGTGCTAAAAAGAAATTAGTTATTAACAACTATATTTTATTTTTCGCTGAACTTTAAATAGTATTGTAGTACGGAGTATATTTTTCGCAGTACCAAAATTAATAATGTTTACACCAGTTTTTCTGATATGCAAGACAGATTACAAGAAACAAACACCTGTCTAAAAGTGATCCTCCGTTCAACCATTCGCTCATTGTCCGTAAAAACTTTGAGTTATTCTTATAGCAACAAACTCCATGTCTAAAAATGATCATCTGTTCAACTAATCGCTCATTATTCGTAAAAATTTTATATTATTTTTCTCTATTTCTGTCTGTGTGTTTTGATATAGCTATTGTTAGTTTCCAAATCGCCTATCTTTTGGTGTTGGTTTTTGTGTTTCATATTACCATTTATCAATTCATAGAGACGAGAGTATTTGATAGTCGCTCATTGAAATTAAAGACTCGGTTGTACTTCTAGCCTCTGCTGGGGCTAATGCGTGACTCTTTCGGATAATGGACATGGGGTTTTATGATAAAGATAAGGTATTGCTTTATTACTACAGCCGAACATTGGGGTTTATTTCAGGAATTAGCCTGGTTTGGGATAAAGGGGTTACGAAGGTTGTAGCTGAGGTGGATATAGTCAGTCCGTAGTAAAAATGGTTATGGACAGTGAGAAAAAATTAGGACAATATGATGGCATTATCAAAGCTATTGGAGATCTTATGGATCGGCAATTGGAAGTAGTTTTGTGTCATAACTATAGAGAAATCAACTTTACAGCCGATTACTTAGTTTCTCTAGCGGCGACGAATTCGTTAGACTTAGTAGATTGAATTTGCTATCAACATGGATTTTTGGTTAATCAATGATGTAATAAGGGTTGTGTATCTCTGGTATGTTGTAGTCCCACGAGGATCGTAAATTTCCCGATTATTAAAAAAAGAAAAAAAAAACTCGGTTTTGCATCTGGTGTGGGGGTGGTGTATCAATAGTAGTTCCAGTTGTCGTTTTGTTTCTTTTTGCGGTGTTGTTCGATTTAGGACTAGAAATAAAACCACAAGTTGCAAAAGAGTAATTACTCCTTTTACACATGTCAAAAACTTAATTTGGTTCATAACAACAAAAATTCACTAATTTTGTCCATTACATTTATATTTTCAACTAATTTAGTCATTTTTATTTTTTTTTGGACATTTTACATTTGGGAATACTCATTGACCAAATATGGGTAAAGTCAACATGGGTATATTTCAGTATTTCATAATTTTTAATTTTTCAACAATGTAAAAAAAAGTGAAATTTAAGGATGGATAGAGATTTTGATCCAATATAAATGTAATGGACAAAATTAGTAAATTTTGATATTTTAATTAATAAATGTAAAATTAAGTTTTCAACAATGAATGGTATCAGAGCGGTTATGTATTTTTTATGTTTACAAAAGATTTGTTTGATTCAGAACCTAATTTAAAAATGAATAATTTAGAAACAACTTCAATAAAAAATTCAGTTCAAGAGGAATACGATATGCCTCAACAGCTTGCTCTTCTTAATAAATGGTCAATACCAAAGGTACCGACTAATACTTTGTATGAATATGGTATGTTTGATCGATACTTGGTTAAACAGGTAGTTAAAACTACTGAACAATCAATTGCTTTAAATTCTGATGAAAGGGTTTTACAACTTTTGTCTGCTACAGATATTGAATCTTATAGATCTCATAAAAATTATAAGTTTATGCATATTGGATTGGTGCAAATTGCATTTAAACCTTTAACTTTGGAAGGTCTACCGGAATATTTTGTTGCTGCCTTACGTGATGGTAGAAATTTACATTGGAAAAAATCCCTAATGGGCATAATACAGTCCAGCCTAGCTCATGGTCCAGTTTAATTTTAATGTCTATCCAAATTTACAGCTATCATTGTCTGATGTTAATATACTCGATGCTTTAACCTTAAATGTAAAATTACATGGTTATAATTATTTACCGGGAAGTGAACTTATTTGTTTACACTACCGTATTTGTTTTAAATTATTAAATACCTTAACACCTAGATGTAAGATTATAAGTAAACCATCTAATGAAACCATACTAATAGAAACTAATTTTTATAAATCTCAAATTAGTACTCGTAAAACTATTAAATGGGAAGAAATTGAATTTCCAGAATCTTGGCAAATTAATAAAGGAATTAAAAGAAACTCATTAACTCATAATGTTACAAGTTGTAATGTTACAGAAATTGAACAATCTGATAATGGTCAGATAAGTATTACTTTTGATAAACCAAAAATTCCTAAATTACTAAGATCCAGCTCTCAAAGATCTTTTAAATCTTATATTGATCCAGTCGATTCTCATAGATTTTCGACATCTTCGATTCCTGAAATAGATTTAACAAATAGAATAAATCAAGTAAAAATTGATCCATATAATATTGTTCGGTCTGCTGATAGTAAGACGTTTGATAAGGATATGCCTTCACCTTCTGAAATGGGTTATCATGGCGAATACTAAAAAATTAGATTTTAGTCCAGGATCTAATATTAGACAAATAATAAAACAAGAATTTCAATATGAAAAGTGGAAACTTTTCAGAGAATGGTTTTTTTCTACTTATGATATTGAAAATCAGAAACTTATACAAAAAGAATTTTATGAATATGCTTCTTTTCACAATCAAATAATATATTTTGTTCCGTGGTTCATACTCACTTATCTTGATAAATATATTTTCCTCCTTGAAAGAGAATATCATCTTGCAGATGGAAAAATTACAAAAGGAATTTACCCTCCACAAAAAGAATTTGTTTTAACAAATGCAACTCATATAACTTTTTCTGCCTTTCAAAAATTGGTTGA